TAAGATGCCAAATGCGATTACCCAACAATGTATATCCTGGGGTCCTTTTGTGCTCTGTTTAGCTTCAGCGCTGTAGATTCCAGTTTATATAACAACTATCATGTGTGACGTCTTTTGCATGTGGTGGAGGAAGCCGGGGGATTTTCTCATTAAAGATTTTATTTGTGGTTGGGCCGAGTAGTATGAAGGATATCAGGTTGCCATATTTTGTTAGGAAACCCACGCTGACCTTAACACTGTTGAGGTTGGGCTGTAATTTGAGACAGTGTATCAGCTTTGGTGTTTCTGTGTAGGGCCAGCTAGTCATGGACAACGCTAATAACAGGATTGTAATTGGACTTTATTGGCTGGGTGTACTAAAATGAGTTATCAGGAAGGAAAATACTATGACAACAGTGTAAATATTACTCATACGGAAGAGTTATCAGCTGTGTATTTGTTAGTATAGAGCAGAAATTGGTAAGAAGTCAAAGGCACTGTACCTGATTTGTACTGTCTTCAAAGGCCCATATTACTCTACTTTCTGATCTATGTTATAATGTTGTTTCCTCATCAGAATCATACTTGGAGATGTGTTTTGTTTTATTCAAATGAGTTCTCCTCTCAAACGAAAAGCACTCTGTTTTACCTTGTGATGTGGTAATACAGGAAATGTACCACTGTGTTTTTAAACTCCATATACCTTCACCAGAATCATTTGGATGATTTCAACTCTGGAAATGCCTATCTCTACTGAAGGTAAAGGAGAAATTTTATTTGTTGACTGAACAAAAGTTAATTTGGTCGAATACGTTTCGCTGCTCATCCAAGCTGCTTCTTCAGTTCTGATCACAATGCTGGTGGACACTTCCTTATATCTGCATTCTACATTCTATTCCAGCCAATAACTTGACATCAGCATAATGTATTGTTGGTGGAGGAGAGCGGAGATTCCGTACTGTGGGAAACACTGCCATACCATGAGTTTAATATCACTTTTTTGCATATAGTACAAAAAAAAATCCAAAATGACCCACTCACTTTCTGCTGTTGCACCACATAAATCCTTATAATCTAGATAAAGTTATTGCAGATGGTTGGATTCAATGACTACAGGCCTACAGCTCTAGTTCAGAGTGAGGCTCTGTTGGAGGTAGGGAGGGAAAAAATAATAAAGATTTTTTCCCACATATCAATCAATCTTGATTTTTGATTTAACCAAATAAACTTTTGTCCAGTCGACAAATTAAATTTCTCCTTTGCCATGGATTCTACCTGGACGACTGAAGGATTTTTCACACAATCTCTACTGAATAATAAGGTAAAAGGTAACTGTTAACTTGAAAACTACCTCTACATGACATCACAAGGTGGAACAGAGCATTCTGAGCTTTGCAGATGTAGACAGACTAATAATGCAGCATTACTCAAACATGTGTGAATGAAAGAAAACACAACTCCAGGTCTGTTTTTGAGGAGGTAACAACATAACATGGATTAAAGAGTCAATTTTGCATAATATAGGACCTTTTAAAAAATATGAACTACTTAATTTTCTTGGATAATAAAGCACTATAATTAGATGCAGATAGCGTACTTATTTTGACCTGAATAGCTGCTTATACAATATATCTGTAGTGGGGCAGGGCACAGTTTGCTCAAATACATGGGAAAAATCAGGTTCAGGGCCTTTGAATATGGCCTCCCTTTATCTTGTTGTGTCCTTACTTTAATTGGCCAGCTTTGTCCCAGTGTGTCTGTGGTTTTGTGTCTCTGCTAATTATTTCTCAAAGGTTATGACCTGAGATTTAATGACAGCAGGAGCCAGGAGTCTCTTGATGCGGCATCCACCTGCACTGGGTCACATGAGGCGAAACAAAAACATTTCCACTCACCAAAGCAGCTTGTTGGTAAAGCAATTAAATGTTTTTTATATTACAAAGTAGGACCAGAAGTCACAGGCTTCCTCACGATTTGATATGATACATGATACATGGCTCACGATACGATATTATCACAATATGGCGATAATCAAATACAAATGGATTTTAGCAACAATATTTCTTTGTTAAACCACTACCTGTGCAAAGTTAATATGAAATGCATCTATTTTAATTATCAAAACAGTGAATATGCCAAGTGTATTGGATAAACAAGTTTCCTTCCACTACATAAGCAACAAAATTATAGAATGGTCACAAAAAAAAAAATGCTAAAAGATACCAGAAATACTTCTATTGTTACAGCAATTTTAGTATCACGATATTTTTTGCACACCTCTATTACAAACAGTTGACCAGGTGACCAATGCAAACATAAGAAATGTCTCAAATAAATCTCAATAATTTTATAAACCATAATTTAAAATTTGATGAATTGTTACAAATTTAGGGCAAGGCAATAAATTGGGTTTCTCTTCATGCATGTAACTGTACTGACTCAAATGTGTTTGCAGTGAAGTCTAATCAATCTAATGAAACTATAATGGTGGTTTTATATATCCATATTTATATGGAAACTGATCATTTCTGTTATTGACTAGACCTAAGACCATGCTATATTACAACAAAAATGTGCACTTGAATGCTGAAAAATGCTGTGATGTCATCTGAAACCCAGCAATTAGCTTACTTTTGTTTTTATTGTGTTGATTTTACTGGAAAGGCCATTGAAAAAGCTCTATGAATATTAGATTATGAAAATATAAGATTGACTAATTAAATTTGAATTGATTTGGTAGTATTGAAAAAAAAAAATATCTTGATTTGATGAACCCATGTACATAAAGGTACAGAAATATAATTCATTTTAACCTTCTCTTTTGAAAACCAAGTATCAAAATCAGTTAAGCTGCAATTGTTTTTCAAGCATTCTGTTACGATTTACAAATTCTGTTTTAACAATAGTATTATGTAAAAGCATCCAAAAGCATTGGCAAGAAAAATAAAATATGAACTGACAAATTTATGCAACAAGAATAACATTTGTGTACAGATTTAAACTACAGGGTTAGCTGTTTTTGGCAGAATAAATCTCTGTGAAGGAAATTATGGTCATTAAAAAACTGCAGCCTTTGCAATTTGCAAATTACAGTTTCATTTTGATTCCAATTAATCTTGCAGCCCTAATATTTCCTACCTCTAATTTGAAAGCTGTCATGGTGTTGTATTGCGTATGTTTTTAGGTTTGACCATTTGACCTAAAATCTCAGGTATAAACTTTTACCTCACAAATGTTTGCCCTGTACCTATCGAATGGTCAGAGATAGCTGTCAGCTGATGGTTCACTGTGTTCCCTCGAGTAGAAGCCAAACTAAACCAAGCCAATTCCTTTTGCCAACACTGGAGCCAATTACTGTAAGATTATGGATATTGAACTTATTTCCAATCTGCTCATCTATTGATTAAACCATATATCTCTCAGTAATTCATATCAGTGTCCTCTTAATTACTATTTTTCCAAGCATAACACTTTCAGCATTTGTCACTGTCTGACCTCATCAATTTCAAAACAGCTTCAACAGAGAATAAATCACTTGTCCTTGCAGTTGATCTCTATTCAGGTTTTCGAAAAGGTTACATTCTGTATTTTATGATCTAATGAGTCACTGGAAAGATCTCTGCCATTTTCATCTCACTTTCATATGTAAATTATGGCTTCTGTTTTATCTTTGCTGTTTCATACCTCCAATGTTGGGAAGTAAGTGAATACATTTACTGACAATATGTATTCTGAGTACTAATCTTGAGTAACTATTCCTATACAGTTAATCTTTCATTTTGTTGGTATTCAGAATATAGTTACTTTCTTAAACAGAAAGGAATACATGGCAGCACTTTATCGTGTAATTTTGGCTTTGTACTGCAGTAGGGGTGTAACGATATCCCAGTCTCATGATACGATATCGTAATGGTATGCACCTCATGGTATGATATTTATTGCGATATCGTGGGAAAACTCACGATATGGTGGGGAGACTCACAATTAGGGATGTAACAATATCCAAATCTGTCGGTACGATATTTTCATGAAATGCATCTCACTGTACGATATTTACTGCGATATTTTGCGGAGGCTAAGAAAACTGTGAATATGATACATTTTCCTCTTAAAATGTCTTGACAAGATTTAATCCAAAGAACTAAGACTTTAAAGTGCTTAGAACTGTTATTTCTTCTTGTAGTCTACACTGAAATGGAGCAAAGGATCATGGTCTATGGAGTTCACTCTGTCTTTTTTTAGCTATTGCTGCACCATAACTCTTAATTTAAGCAAAGAGACTTGTAATTCGATATATTGTGATGGTCCACGATATTATTGTGAGAACTTTGACGATACGATATCACGATATTTCGGTTATTGTTATTGTCCCTATACTGCAAGAAAACAAAATAAAACAGTTTGCAATGCTATGTAGTATATATTTTTTTACTTAAATATAACGCAACATGGCGTAAAACGTATTCTAAGTGTTCAGAATATAGTACTGTGAATGGACCATGTATCAGAATACGTTATGAAATATATTATAATTCAGGTATTCAGTGTTTAACCAACTACATTTTCAAAGTATTCTTCCCATCACTGCATACCTCACAGGGTAACTTGTGTTCTCGGTTGGCATGTTGGGTTGTGTTAATTGGAAAACAAGTAAATGACAGCCCCAAGCGGATCATTGATTTGAAACGATTCTTCATTCAATCAAAATGGGATTAATTGCACTCATTCACAGCACTAGTGGGATACAACACAAAGAGTTTAATGGCCCACATTGCACTGTTTTGTGACTCTAATGTTGTTTCCTCATTACAAACATACCAGGTAAATTTTTAAGGAGATGGCAGCATTGTAGCATGGCACTTAATGGCTTGGTATCTCCAGTTATAGATTTTCTCACCTAGACTATCGCATAAAATATTCAGTGTTTTGCAATAGTTCACTGTTTGAAATGTGTATCCGTGAATTCTGTAGTCTTTTTGTACTGTACATTATTTATAATCATGAGTAACTGTCTTTTGCAGGGTCTAGATGAGGAGGCAATAGTTGACCATGGGAAGACCAGTTTCACCACTCAGACCAACTATGAGAAGGATGACCTAGAAAGTAAGATTTTAATGTTTTATTTTGCTGTTTGTGTTTTGAATTTCACTTAACTTAAAGCACAGGGAGATCACAAAATAAGAATTACAATTTTAAAAGTAGTAATATTGAGAACATAACCATGAAATCTTGTATTCACTGTAATTCCCATTGTTTAATACACTACAATTTCTCTAGTATGTGACCAGCTTTATGAAATATGAGAAAGAAAACACCCTGTTCCACCTTTTAAAGTCAACTCCATACACCTTCACTATAATCATTTGGATGATTTCAGACATGGAATTGCCGATCTCTACTGAACTAAAGGTAAAAAGTAGCTTGAAATCTACCGCTTCATGACATCACAAGGTGGAACAGAGCATTTTGAGCTTTGGAGATGTAAAAGAGAACACTATAAATGCTTACTCAAACATGTGTGAATGAAACAAAACTCTAGGTTTGTTTTTGAGGAGGTCATTGAGTTGAAGTTGAAAATTCTGGAATTGTATTTTATAATAATCACATATAAGTATTTGCTTTGTATGTAGTGTTGTTTGATAAGCTCCATTAATATGCACAATAGTAAACCCTCATGTTACAAAGGCCAGGGCTGAAGCTTTGTTCTGAATGGTAATGTGACGCACTAGAATCCTGCACTTATACACACACGTTTGCGTGTCACTTCCCGTCCTCCCACTCACTTCTCTTTGTTTATGAGAACCATTACCACACTCTGTACCTTATTGACCTATATATTAGTCTGTTTACTGTGGATAATATTGCAGTTAATGTACTTTTTTAACTATATCAATTTCCCTTATTTAGATAAAGAAGAAATATAAAAGTACTTCTTACAGAAAAGTCTTTTTGTACCTGTTTTTTAGGTCTCTTCAAACTTGAAGGCTTGAAATGCATGGGATTCTTGTATTAGTTTATAGTTCTATAGTTCATACTCCTGTCTTCTCTTAAAATGCTTCTACAGTTGCACTACAATGTGCACTCTGAACAGAATCCAACTTTTTAAAATTCCCTATATTGTGTAAAATTGACTCTAGTGAGTTTTAAGACATGTTGTACCTTATTAAAACATACCTGGAGTTGTGTTTTGTTTCATTGAAACATATTTGAGTAATCTTTATTTTTTTATTAGTCTGTCTAAATCCTCAATGCTCAAAATGTTCTGTTACACCTTGTGGTGTCATGAAGGGGTAGTTTTCAAGTTAACAGCTCCTTTTAACTTTTGTTCAGAAGAGATTGGCAATTACAGGGGTGAAATGATCCACTTGATTCTATTGAAGCTGTCTGGAGTTTAAGAACATAGTGGAGCAATTTGGAGTGTTTTCTGTTTGAGACAACTCAGTCTAAATATGCAGGGTTTGTGTGTTATGTGTGAATGAAACAAAATACAACCCTGGAAATGTTTTTGATGAAGAAACATTATAACAGATCATATGGGCTCTTTCACAGACATCACAAATATTATCGCAATTGAAGAAAAATAGAAGTAGTTTTTTTTACACTGGGCAGCTCTCCTAAATATTGTCTTTAAGTTAATCCAGAACAGCTCTTTCTTTTTGTCAGTATCTTCCCCGTATGTCAGTCTGTGTGTGTGTGTGTTTACATCTTCTGCAGCCCTCGGAATTTCTGATCTCTCCTTCTTTCTCTCCTCCTCACATCCCTCCATCACCTCTTCCTCTTGGCCTTTCTCTAATCCTCTGAGTGTGTACAAGTGTGCCCTCCCCAGAGAGCTGTATCCTGGTCTGGTTCTCCAAATCAAAGACAGATGACTCATCTGTGTAAAAGGAGTATTGGCACAGAATGTAGGCCAAAATAAAACCGAGAGAAGGCCATTTGCATCACACTACTCGGTTCACGCTGGGCGGTACTTACATCAGAAGAAGTATATTAAACATCCAGGCAAAACAGATGCGTGAAATTTAAATGCTCTCATCTGGTTTTCTTCAAATACAGTTCTCTGCAACAAAAAATGGATCAGAGAGAAGTGAGGGGCCTAGTCTCAGCATGTGTTGTACAACTACATACAACTTTTACAAGTTATAGTGTTGTTGGCACTAAAATGTGCACTTGGATGATGAAATAATGTTGGGCAATATGCCAAAAGATCATATTTCTTATTATGATTCATGTAGAGTTATTGGTGGGAGAGTGAGTAACAAGCTTGTGCCAGGTACTAGTGGCAGGAGAGACATGTTTAACAGCACAAATCATCTCACCTTTTGTAGTTCCAACTAAGTCAGCTCTTTCTGGTGAGAATGTGTTCAAATAAAGCTCACATTTAGTCTAATATTAGTAACAGAGTTTGTAACAGAGTAGTGCTTTCTTTCAGTTAGCTTCACTTCAGTTCAAGATGACAACTAGGTGGGGAGAAGTGTCTGGATTTGACTAAAAGCTGCTGGAAAAACTCTCAAATAAACAATAATAAATCAAGAAAACACAGTTAGACCCTTTCTGAATAGTATAATTATCTTGATTTCTTTCATCTGTTTTGACAATTACACCCAATAAAATATCTCTCTCTCTCTCTAAGTATTGTTATATTATCATTGTGGTATCAAAATCAATATCGAGTATTCAGTGTTTTCCTTACTATAACTATCACCTTTGTCATTTTAGTATTGTTACAGATTTGTGTCTAAATAAGTTGATTTTGATCCCCAGGCCACAGAGCGGTGTACGTGGGTGTCCATGTGCCACTGGGGAGAGAGAGCAGACGGAGGCATCGTCACAGAGGACACAAACATCACCGAAAGAAGAAAGAGAAAGATGAAGAGGGCAAAGGAGATGGGCGCGACTCACCAACCGGTATGTACAAAACACCAAGTACACACATTCATGCATCTTTCAGATTCAATATCAAGATTTGGTAAGGGCAAGTGCCAAGGGTGGGATGAGATGTACCACAAGACAAGAACAAGATGAGATTAAGATATCAATACATATACATACAATGCTTGTTTCATGCATGTGCAGAAATGGAAAACCCCCTTTTAAGTAAAAGGGAAAGATATTATATTTGAACTGGAAAAAAATTGTATATATATTGCTTTTTATTACAGTATGAGGCATTATGAATTTTATTTTTCAAGAATTTTTATACTACCTAATAGTAAATATATGTGTCTCACAGTTGTGGCTTATTGTTTGTGTCATTTCCCAAACTAAATGAATTTTATCTCTTGAAAAACAGGCATTAGTAATGCCTGCTTAGGGTGGCTGATTGTAAAAATGCTTTAGGTAGTATTCTGTAATAAAAATGTCAAATCACTCAAATTGTGAGGTTAGAGCTCTTGAATGTTTTTCTTCTTCTTTTTTTTTTTCATTTTAAACTCATAAACCTTCCACTCCAAAAAGCCCCAAATGTCACGAGCTGCAAACACAGGCACTGTCTAAAGGCTGTGACATTTGCTGCAGTAACAGCCTGCATGATGAGGAGCAGCATTAAACCCATTGGTAATTTAGTTTGTTTCAGGTTTGACCAAAGCTGCTTGGTATGAGCAAGTAAAAATATCAATATAACAGAGCCCTTCGATATGATACTCAGTGCATGACTCATGATACAATATTATCACAGTATGGCGATACATACAATAATCCATATATTGCACATGATACAACAATATTTCTTTGTTAAACCACTACTTGTGCAAAGTTAATATGAAATACATGTATTCTAATAATCAAAACAGTGAGTATGTGAAGTGTAAACTAGTTTCCTTCACTAAAAAAATTATAATGTGGTCACCAAAAAAAGCTAAAAGATATAAAACATACTCTTGCTGATATATGTATACAACAGCCAACAGCCAACAATGATAAAGGTACTGTGTCACAAAATTTATCACCATATATTGATATTTTGATATTTTTTCTGTTCTCAACTGTTCCTCTCTTGCCCACCATGGACCAAGGTCACCCCACAAGTAAAAAAAAACAAACAAATATAATCCTATATAACGCTAAATTCACTCTTGTGAGCTTTAAGTCGTGTTACAATGCTGTTACCTTCTCAAAAACATACCTGGAGTTGTGTTTTGTTTCATTCACACATGTTGGAGTTATCCTTTCATATTAGTTTGTCTACATCTCCAAAGCTCAAAATGCTCTTGTGATGCCATGAAGTGTTTCAAGTTAACAGCTCCTTTTACCTTTAGTTCAGTTGAGATTGGAAACCCCAGGGGTGACATCATCCAAAGTGTTCTTAGTTTGAGAGAAGACCTCAAGCTAAATATGTAGGGTTTGTGTTTTTAACATGTGTGTTTAACAAAACACAGCTCCAGGTCTGTTTGTGAAGAGAAAGCAACATTATAACATAGATAAGATAAAAGCGTAATATGGGCCCTTTTAACTGTGTGTCCAATTCCACCAAAATCTTTATTCTGGGCATTTTTACTGCAAGCTCCACATTATATTCTTTCATCTTACAGGACCTACAATGGAAAATCTGTTATCCTTTTTACCTATCATAATGTTACGCCCAATCTATTATAGCAACCCCTGTGCACTAAGCTGACAACACCGATCCTATGTGTTAAAAGAAAATGGCTTTCCTTCTAGTCATTCAATTTGTCTTTCCCTGCAGCGTGTGATGGTGTAATCTGACATATCTATTTCCGTCTGCGCGCTGGTTCCAGATGTCCCGATATCTGTCCTCTAATTCACTTAGACATGAAAAGGAGATCACTGGAAAGCTTTTGGGTTTTCATTATTCGCCCCTTGCAGTAGACCTCCAAAGAAGACCTGTGTAAACCTGCCCTAACAAGCTGCTATCTGATCAACCTGAATACACAAGTTTAATAACCTTGTACATATACTTAATTCTTTGGTGATATAACTATTTGAATGCTTTGTTTGATATATTTACATTTGACATATAGATATATGAACAATGAAACTACAGTATAAGCAGAAAAAAAACCCCTAAGAAACGGTTGCATTAACATGCAAATGAATAACTAGTTCAGAAGGAATAACACTGATTGGTAAAAGCCAAGCTAAATTGAAATTGCCACATGTAATTTCTGATCACCTGCAATAATGTACTGTACCTGGTTTAAATAGGTCAAATGAAATGACAGGGGATATTCCCTCAAAGTCTCTTAGCAAGTCCAGGCTTATCCTGAAACCCAGAGCTGAAACTAGCTCCATCTCCAATTGAAGCCTCAAGTTGTTCCATGAAATAAACAAAGATAATTCAGGACTGAAGTATAAACCAGTGACTGAGAAGATCAATGGAGCAACGACATCACAGAAAATGGGCTCAACCTATGATATTTTCAATGATCTGACTAAATGAGAGAGGAGCCACAGTGCACACAAACAAAGGCTTGATTTGAGACACAGAACTCATCTGGTCATTCTGATGTGAGGAGCGAAAGGAAAGAGGCATTTAGCCTGGTCCCAGCCAGGTTTTGCCCGGGTGCTTGTTATTACAGTAACACAGCGCCAACTCTGGTTTGCCACTTTGATGGAATGAAATTGAGAATTTGACAAAAAAATTGCCCAAATAAGCCAGACCAATGTTACAGTGTTGTAATGAGTGTTTGGTAGAACTAGTTGGCACTGGTCTCACTTTTTTTAGACATGTTTTCAAATGTATTACAGTGGTCCCCTCTATTTTGATTACAATAGCAAATTGTGCAAAAAAAGTTGATAAAAAAAAAAAAAAAACACACCGTAAACTTCCAATTAAGGATTTAAAGTTGAATTTCTGCACTTTTGTGAGTAATTAACACTATACCTGAACTAATACACTTTAAGACATGTGTACCACATTTCTGTTGGACTGACACAGTACTGTATTGTCTAAATATTACCAGGATACTACAAAAAGATACTGAGACAGTCATTCATTTGGTCTGACAGTGTGAGACCACAGTAGTGTTTCAAAGTTGTCTGTTGTCCGTTAGCTGCAGTGTTGTGCCGTTTGTTTTGCTAATCCCTGTGAGCCTGACCTCCAGCCTCTGCCCCCCGCTCTGTAGACACACCATCCCAGCGGGTGCAGTTTATTCTGGGGACGGAGGATGATGACCTGGAGCATGTCCCACATGACCTCTTCACCGAACTGGACGAGCTCTCGTTCAGAGACGGCAACGCGACTGAGTGGAGAGAGACAGCCAGGTCTGAACCAATGCACTTACGCAGTGATATAATGAATGTAATGGAAGGACTCAATAAATGGGAGTCTCTTATTTGATTAAGGCTACATTAGTCCAACCTACGAATGCCCAGTGCCCAGCATCATCTGTGAATACTGATTCAGTTTTAAAGATGAGAGACAACACAATTGTCTTGTCTTGCTTGTTTGTATGGAGACAGTACTTCATTTCGTAGAATTGGTTGAAATCCTGCTGTCGACATAAATTGTTAAAGCAGTCAGACCCCCTGACTCACAGGTTGTTGGTGTGATTCCAGGTCCCATGAATGCTATTGTTGTGTCCTTGGGCAAGACACTTAACCCTCTTCTCCCTTAGTTTCTGTGTACACAGCTGTATAAATGGGTGAGTGATCCCTTCATGTAAAATGCTTTGAATGCCTTAAAAATAGAAAAGGCTATATACAAATGGGACTATTACCATTTACCATCTTATTCTTTGGCCTGCAATATTTCACAGTATAGCACTGATCACTATCTCCATGGAGACAAGGAGATAGTGGCCCGTTTTCAGATTAGACCTGTGGAGACACAACCCCACTCACAGTGAAATTTTTTTCTCCAATAAAAGCACCTATAATTTAATAAATACAAGATAGATAGGAAAACAGGCAAAGCAATAACATCTCAGTTGAACCATACAACAGGCGGCAGACCCCTTCAGAAAGTTGCGTAGTGCACCTTTAATAGCTCATTTAATATAACCAGGAATTACTGTATCAAATTTTCAAGATTTACAAAATAATATACCTAGGTGCACTGATTTTGTGTTATTTAAATTCATGGACCTTAGACTGAGACTTCGTGATGGACTAACATCTCCTTATAGGAAATGTAGTAAATCTCCATAGTGTCCATAATCAAAAAATGTGTAGCACTGTAATTAATTGCACTTAATCCTATAAAAGTCTTATACTATGTAACGTTGACTCTTGTGAGCTTTAAGCCATGTTAGAACATTGTTAACGTATCAAAGACACACCTTGAGTTGTGTTCTGTTTCATTCACACACGTTTGAGTAATCCAAATTATTAGTTTGTCTACATCTCCCAAGCTCAAAACTCTCTGTTCCACCTTGTAATGTCATGTAATGGTAGTTTGGTTACCTTTTCCCTTTAGTTCAGTAGAGATGGGCAATTCCAGGGCTGAAATTGTCCAAATGTTTCTAGTGAAGGTGTGTTAAATTTCAAAACACAGTGGAGCACTTCCTGGATTACCACATGACATCACAAGGTGGACTCAAATGTTCTCTATTTGAGAGAAGAACTCTAAATATGCAGGATTTGTCTGTTAAACATCTATGAATGAAACAAAACTCACCGGATGAGGAAACAACATTACAAAATAGATCAGAGAATAGTGCTATATGTGCCCTTTAAATGCCTTCAGTCATTTGGGCCTATTCTTCGCAGGTGGCTGAAGTTTGAGGAGGACGTAGAAGACGGAGGAGAGCGGTGGAGTAAACCGTACGTAGCGACTCTCTCTCTCCACAGTCTGTTTGAACTGCGCAGCTGCATCCTCAATGGCACCGTCATGCTGGATATGAGAGCCAGCAGTATCGAGGAAATTGCTGGTAATTTACCCATGCATTTGTCAAGCCAATTTACTCTACTGTTTTCTTCACTTCCTGGATTTAACCTCTCCTTTGTGTCATTGTCACTGTTATTATGTGACTCAGACATGGTAATAGACAGCATGGTGGCTACGGGTCAGCTCAAAGAAGATCTACGAGACAAGGTGCGGGAGGCCATGTTGAAGAAGCACCATCACCAGAATGAGAGAAAACTCAGTAATCGTATTCCGCTGGTGCGCTCCTTTGCTGACATAGGCAAGAAACATTCTGACCCACTCTTGCTTGAAAAAAACGGTGAGATTCAGTAGTGCACTCTAATTTCTTTTTAACTATAAATTTGTCACATCTTTGGACCTGTTTTATTTATCGACAACAACCATATCTTCCAATATCAGAGTAGAATAGATTTTAGCAGTCTCTCGATCTTGGGCGTGCAGTCCCCATGTGGAAGAGAAATATGGGTGCAAATAGTGCCTAATAAGGTGTGTAACTGGTTTTGCTTCAGGTTTCCTGCGTGAATTGTAATAATAACCTTAGAAATTAATTATTATTGTGTTATTTCTTAGGCCTGTCACGATAATGACTATATCAACTTATAGTTTAATATGTGATAAATCAATATATGAAAGATGGACCATTAATTTATGGGGGTCTATATTTACCGTGGGTACTTTTTCTTAGTACTAGAGGCAAACTTTTAGATATTTTTCTATACTACAATAAGACTTGAGTTGTGCTGGGTTGTATAAATAACTTCTATGACACAAACTAACTACTCAAGTGTTTCATGCTGCTATTTATTTATTTTTATTTTATTTTATTTTGCCATTTTATACATTTAGAATATTTTTTGGGGGTATAATTCTACTTTATGGTTATTGTGTGAGTTATCTAAATCAGTTTCAATATTAACATTTATCTATATTTTATATATTTTCTTCAGCAATACATCGTACTTTAAAATGTGTTATCGTAACAGGCCTATTATTTCTTAACATGTTTACTTACTACCAATATTATGTTTGAAAGCTTGGCCTAAATTTAACAGAGAAGCTAGGTAGGCAATATGAATCATTAATAAAAGTGCTTAAAAGTGCTGAAATGGTCCTAAAAATGTATGTGTTTTGGTGTTTTTGATGATGGTAATTAACTGGTATAATATTATTGATCTGTACATGATTTCTGGTGTTGAAGCACAGTTTCTCACAGTGCACTCACATTGTAGTTACTGATCCTTTGCATGGCAGCTTCTTTGCGTCCCCGACTTCTGCTTGGCCTCAGTCACTTGAAGGGTTGGTTTGTTTTGGAGTTGTTTGTTCAACAATTGTAGTCCTTCCGGCATCCCTTTCTGAATGATCTGTAATATATCTTCTGCTCAAACCATGCTTTTCGCTCACGTTTTTGTAAATTTCTCTAACCCACCTCTCCTCTGCTGGCACTGCTCACTCCCCTGGCTGTTTGTACTCTAGATACCTCCTCTGTGGTCGAGTCTTGCCTCATGTGATTTCCTTTTGACCCCTTTCCTTTTCTCTCCCTCCCTCCTCTCCTTCCTTCACCTTCTTCTCTTTCTGCCATTGTCTCCTTTGTTAGGAGAGGGCCTGTCCTCTTCTCGCCTCTCTCTCCACAAGCCGGGTTTATCTCCCTCTGGCTCCAACCTCTCCCAGAGACGAGAGTCCAAGGTGTCCATCCTGCTCAACCATCTGCTCCCCTCCTCCAACACGCCCCTGCCCACTCCTCAAAATACCCCCTCTACTTTCCGACGCACGCCCGACAGCCCAACTGGTAACTATGGCGCTGGACCACAAGGCATCCCAGAGGTGGTGGTGTCTCCGCCGGAGGATGACGATGTCCACTGTTCGGTAGAAGAAGAGGCAGGACAACTCAGCCGACGTGCATCTTCTGTCTCTCAGGGCCTTGAGATGCTGCCCTTAGAAGGCAAATATCTGTGTAGCCTGCCAGTGTGAGTCACGGCTTGAACTGGGAACACTAGCACTAGCATGAAGGCTAAGCTTGTTGTTAACCTGCAGCCCTGTGGTCATCCCATCAGTAACCCACAGCAAGGCTCAGGCTCAGACGCTGCTACCACTGTGTTGTTAAGTTTTTACCGTTTTTATCTCGCTCCAATAATTGCCTCACATCAATCTGACTCGCCACACACATTTACTAACGCTGTCTTCTCTTGTTTTCCATTGTGTGTGCTGTGCTGTCCTCACTTCTGTCTTTTACATATCACCAACTGTCAGTGTCTATGCTTTGCTTGGGTGTGTAGTTCCCACATTTCAGTTGCATGACCATGTTTTGTGTTATTTGTTCTGTGTGTTGTGAAGTGTTTCCACAATTACCTCACTTTTTGGCTAACATGCAGTACTTTCACTAAATAATCTTGTATTTGTAAGTGTTTTCTAGTAACATACACTATCCCATTCTATCAGTAATATACTCCACAGAAACAGACACAACACAGATTTGCATTGTAAAAGTGTCACACCTACAATAAGTCTAATAATCTTCATATAGTGTACTGTAGTTTTCATCTGGTCAATCAGTGTTGGCACAAAACACATTTCGTACTGGTTTTGGCATTCGGAAGTTTTGTTATCTGATGTGGTCTTCTCTGTGGTCTACTGTGTTAAGTGTCATTAAACCCGTATTGCATCATTGTAACGTCTCTCATCAAGTATAAACATTCTTTTACCTGAACAATAATGCTGTGGAGATATGAAACCAAACCAATAGCAGTAAATTATGGCTGGGACCTGTATCTGCTGCTGTCTGGCTCCTACAATGACTTGTTGTTCTTCCAAACCCATCCGTGTGTTTATTAATAGACTGTGTGCGTATATGTGCATCGGCGCTGGTGTCACCCTGGGACTGGCTCTGTTTCAGTGTGTGGGCCTTTGAAGACTGATATCTGGGCTGACGCTGGCTCAGAAAGGTTGGAGTGGTCTTATTTTAGCACAGGGAGGCTGTAATTGTACCCCTTCTAAGAAAATGTACTATATTTCAAAACATCTCCACATGACTGCGTGGGTTCACTAGGGCTTTACTCTGTGATCATTATTATTAGTGTGTATTGTAGTCTTCAAAATTATTAGTTGTCCACTATGAAACACAGTTGCCCCAGGAGCTGGGTTCTTTTATATTTAGTGCTTTACAAATAGACTGCTGATATTCAAAAGTGCAAATCCCAATGGCGTCAGTGTGTGGTACATAATACTTTTTAACATTATCATAAAATGTGTTGCCTACACCGTCCATACCTTATAATATATATAATAAGCTCAGTGCAATATAATTAGTAACAGTATGTTCCACACTATTGCTTTATTATATTATGTATTTTTTGCATACAAATGAAGTAGTGCAGTGACGCTATAGTAGCACCCAGCTATGAGTGAGCATTCCAGGGCTTAGCTGTCCTGAATGAAGTCCGTTGGTTGATGCAACCTAAGCTAATCCCTCCCTTATTCCAAGAGGCTTTGTTGGCTGTGTGAGCAGTCATGCTCTTGTTCACAGCTTCCCAGTATTGATGGGGTTACCCTGGGTACCGGTCAAGGGTACGGAGGATCAGCGGCTCAACATGTTGTGGGAATCATGATCAAGTTTGACCTGCAATTTGACATAGTTACAACTGGGAAACACCTAGGTAAAAGAACTGTTACTGCAGAGGGTTCAAATGTACTTGTATTTATTGTAGATCAAGTGCATTCCTCTCCCATCTCATATCCTCATGCCATCATGAGTGCTAGCGTTTTGTTTGGCTCAAGTCAAATGCTGATGTTTTACAGAACAGTGTCAATGCCTAAAGGTGCTGCAGTGTGAGAGATGGACTCTCAGCTCAAACTCACATATATCTAAGATAAGCAGCAGAATAATGAGCTCAGCACACTGGGAGCAATCACTGTCTCTTTGTCAAATATGAGATCTTCCCTGTGGAGATACAGCTCTGCAACAGGAAGTCATCATTTCACTTTGTGCCTGAGCAGAGAACAGTGCGCTCCATCAGGGTTCAGTCTCCAGCACTCAGATATGATTTAAGAGATCTCATTTAATTTAATGTACAAGCTAAGTGAAGCTGCACAGGGTTAATATGTGTAAAAGTCGGGCTTTAGTTCAATGCAATAAAATATAATAATGTACACCTTTTAACTTATGGAGCACAGATGATCTTAATGGTATGCTTTATGTATAGAGCTGCCTTAGCCAAGTCAGTTATCTTTGATTGGAACAATATTAAGGCGTTATTAAATATAGATTTTACTCTCAGTGCATGGTGACCACGTGAAAGATGACTATAACCATTTAACATTAACCAAAGTGATTGATGTTGCTTCCCGTTTGTTGAAACTAGTCGTATGGTGTTTGAATACTAAATAAATTGCATATATAATTACGAACTGTGTAGTCAGACATTTCTCGCACATTGTTTAGCATTTCGTTCCTCTCTGTGCCCTAGGACCAATGTTTTCGCCGCACTCTGTTCCTAACAACCTGGATGGCAACAAGGCTGTGGAGAGGAGACCGTCCAAAGTTGGGGTCAGTAGAGAAGGCAGCAGTGTCGACTTCAGCAAGGTATAACTAAGGCCTTTCACTGTGCGATGTCTGCACCATTCTCCTATCAGTGTCTTTCCTTCATCTCTGGATCTCCTCAGACATCTCAGTTAGGGATGTCAGTGTCACAATATTACATTTTAGTGTTATGATTATTGTGAAAAAAAACAAACATAATTTAATGATTACATTTTTATTTAATAATTAAATTATTGACTACTGCTTTAAGGTCCTATGTTACACATAACTGACTCTTGTGAGCGTTAAACCATGTTATAATGTTGTTACCTCATCAAAAACATATCTGGAGCTGTATTTTGTTTCACTCACACATGTTTGAGTAATCCTTTATTATTAGTCTGTTTACATCTCCAAGGCTCAATATACCTCACCTTGTGATGTCATGAAGCAATAGTTTTCCAGTTAACAGCTTCCTTTTACTTCTACCTAGTTCAGTAGAGATATGAAATTCTAGGGTTGAAATCATCCAAGTGATTCTAAGGAAGGTGTAAGAAGTTTAAAAACACAGTGGAGCAATGTATCAAAATGTGGAGTGTTTTCGGTTTGAGAGAAGAACTCATCCTAAATATGGAGGGTTTGTGTGTGAATGAAGCAAAACACAAATCCAGGTATGTTTTGACAAGGAAACAACATAATAACATGGATCAGAAAACAGTGAAATTCCTTATTTCCTTTAATTTCCTTTGTCTGAGCATTCCTCAGGTATGTGACCTGCTTTATGAAATCTAACTTTCTGAATGATAAAGTAAAGTTGATTTGACTTGAATAGACAGATTCAGACTACAAATGTCAACATTACTTAATTCTACTTCTAAACTTTGATTCATTATGTTTTCAGTTATTTTGTGATGATCGATGATGGTGGTGATTTCCCAGATGGAGCCATAACAATAACAACATACTTTGCCATGAAATATCCAAAAAATTTAATTCACAAATAACCAACTGTATAACAATAAAAATCAGTATTTTAACTATTAATTGCTGCATGCATCTGTATTAAATAGTATTGGCTAATAGAATAGAATAATGTTGTTTCAAACCTGGCTGTAATCTTGACATTCCTAATCTTATTTCTTTGTGCCAAAAACAATACAAAGCTTCACATTATTTAAACTTGTTCAAATCCCTGCTTAATCTGCAGTGGTGTAAATTGATTACCAAAGTTTGATTTAGTTTACTTTTCTTGCATGGCTCACATCCATGTTGACATTTTGTAGTTCCTGGAGCATAAAATAAAATGGCAGCTTGCCGTGCACAGTTATTATTAAACCTTCCATTAGGACTGCCAAAAAACAAGGTACACTGTTTAGATGAGTCACCAGATACAGGGCAATCTCGGAAAGAGCTGCGCCTGAGCTCAGAGCCGCAAACTTACTGTGCCAAACAAAAGAATTAACAGAATGTGAAAATTTTATGTGTTGTGGTGGACAGTTGCCATTATATTTCGATCCAGTAAAACATTATGACCACCTGCCTAATAATCCCATAAAACAACACCATGCTTCTTTTAACTGAAGTTTAGACCAACTAAGTGGACAAATGATTTAATTTTATAGATTATCCTACCACTCACCCTCCAGTGTCACCTCAGCTTCATTGAACTGCTGCTTTCTGCATTCCCTCTTTGCATTATCTATAATTTCATCCAATATTATGCTGTGTGTCATAGACCCAAATCCTCACTGCGGCTGTCTCTACAGGTGGATATGAACTTTATGAAGAAGATTCCTCCTGGAGCTGAGGCGTCCAACGTGCTGGTGGGAGAAGTGGACTTCCTTGAGAAGCCCATCACGGCCTTTGTGCGACTTTCTCCTGCAGTCCTAATCACAGGACTCACGGAGGTGCCCGTGCCCACAAGGTAGTGGAGCCATTTATTTTTCATAACTGTATTTCATTTGGCTTATGCCTCTGGTTGGGCGCCTTTGCATTTGAGAGCAGATGTTTGAGACTGTTTGATGTGTGACATATTTTGCCAAAAGTTCTCATAAGTTTTCACCTCTCATAAGCATTAACACCTGGAGTAATACGTCAAATGTTCTGCAAAATGTTGGTCGAGATGTGTGTCCCCCATAGACTTTGCATGTAAACCTGATGCCTCTGATGTTGTGATCTGAATACATCATTATAGAACATAATGTCTGCCCAGTTTTCTTATTGTAAGTGTGTGGAGAGTGTTTCTCTTGCAATTGTTAACTATATAGTAGAGTATACCTGCTTTTTCCTTTAACCAGGGATCTTTTTGACTGTAAATACTATATTATTTTACATATTACAAAATTGTGTCTTATTCTTCTTTTAGCTATTACTCCTATGAAACTCAAACAGGAATAATTTCTGAAGACTGAAATTAATGCTGTTTTAATGTGTTTGAAGATTCCTGTTCCTGCTGCTGGGACCCCACGGCAAAGGGCCCACGTACCACGAGATTGGCAGGTCGATGGCAACGCTCATGACAGACGAGGTGAGAAATGTGACAGAAAATAACTGAGTCTAAATTTAAAGTGTGAGATTTTGCTGCGTTTGCAACATTTGGTTAATGTCAGACTGATACTGGCTATTTCTAGTGATACTCAACTGATAGCTGAATTATCTTCCTGATTTAGTCCATTGCAATGAATTTTTACAGAAGTTTAGTACTTATAATTTCATGATTTCATTTGTTCTGGTTTAGGCTTAATGTAAGTTTGGTATGCCATGATAAAGTCACCATTTATATCTTGTATTTAAATGTCCAACTTTTCTGGAGAGAGAGACTTTCCTTGGAGATTTATTGTTTAATTTATGCTTTGGTTTACCTTATCCACAGTATGGTATTAAACTAATGTGTCTTGCATTTATACAACTATAGGTGTCATTTATTGTTTAAAATGATCTTAAAAAACATCCAATCTTACTATGACTGGGGTTGCCTCTCCTCAAATATAACCTGTAATTTGTCTTGCAAGCCTCCATTGAGATTCTTATTTTTATGGCCACACTGGGGAACACACCAGACAATTTACACAGTGAACCTTTAAGTCTTGTAGATACAAATTTAAATTTTACTTAATTTATTATCTTTCATATTTTTGTCTTAGTGCAAAGTCTGAGAACCATTGTATATATATATTATGTGATTGTTTTAGATTTTCCATGATGTTGCATACAAGGCCAAGGACAGAACAGACATCCTTTCTGGCATCGATGAATTTCTCGATCAAGTGACCGTGCTCCCTCCCGGTGAATGGGACCCCACCATCCGAATTGAGCCCCCCAAAAATGTCCCATCTCAGGTGACCACTGCTTTGTAATGAGAGAAACGCCAGACATGAATGGCGATGAATACTGCATCATAAAGCTGTCACTGTTGTTATGGAAAGCATGTAAGATCTATTTAAAATACAAATATTTGGACATGTAGATGAAGAGGAAAAGACCGCCACAACCCAATGGTACGGCGTCCCCTTCTGGCGAGCAGGAGAAAGCGGATGACCATCATGTAGGGCCGGAGCTGCAAAGAACTGGGAGGTAAGGCTATTTAATTTTTTTTCTTTTTATTACCCTGTTATGATGTTGTTACCTCATCAAAAACATACCAGTTGTGTTTTGTTTCATCCACTCTTGTTGGATAATTTCAGCCCTGTACTGAACATACCACTTCATGACATCACAATGTGGAACAAAGTATTTTGAGCTTTGGAGATGTAGCCAGACTTATAATAAAGGGTTACTCAAACATGTGTGAATGAAACACAACACAACTCCAGTAATGTTTTTGAGTAAGTAACAGTATTCTAACATGGTAAAAAGCACAGTTTCACGTAATATAGGACCTTTAAAGATGCCGCTAACTAATACTACACAAAAAATTACAAATTTGTTTATACAATGGGGGAAAAAATTGTGAATTATTATTTTTAATATTATTTTTATACATCTAATTTCATAGACAAGTCAGGAGTTAATTTCCTTCTTATTTACTAAGTTAATCATGTATTTGACTCAGCTTCATAATAAACAATACATGCTAGTACATGCTAAGAAGTGTTTCTAAACTAGCACTGGCAACAAGCTCTGGTATTCTAACTATTCAGCACAAATACAAGTAGGCCTATAAGTGGCAGTAGAAGTGTTTCTCAAACTGTCATACCACCGGTTGTACAGGGGCTGTCTTTGGTGCTACACGGGACCGCAGATCTGCCATTTCAGTATTTGTTTAATTTGGACAAATCTATTCATGTTTGTGTCCTCTTTTTAGTTAATCATTCTTTAAGAGTTATTCGGATCTTTTCTGGTTTAGTCTCATTTTAGACCACGTTTAGCTCTAATAGTCTGGGTTTAGTCAGTGTCTGCTTACACTGGTGTGTGAATGTGTGTGTGAATGGGTGAATGGTTCCTTGTTGTAAAGCGCTTTGAGTGCCTTGAAGGTGGAAAAGCGCTATAGAAAAATGTGACCATTTACCATTACCATTTTAGATCTGGCAACTCAAAAAGCTGAACATTATGTGGTAAATGCTGAGAGCCACTACAGTAGAGCAGAGTTTCTCACCACATAAAAAGTGCTTAATTTGTCGTATTGAGCATCACATGACGCATTAGTCCATTACTGTTAATAACATGACCCATGCGGCATGACTCAGGGCTTTGGTAAAGGGAACATTAAACAGTCTGTGGGTTGAAGACATCACCAGATCAGAGTGTGGAGCTCTGCTAATGGGGCTAAATCCTCGCTATAATGACAAGCTTCTGAGCCGTGAAAATTCCTGCCTCGAGATCTTCTACAAGCACAATGTGTAAAACTTTCACTTAGTCATTTGCAATATTGAGTAGATGTTGCTAATTGACCCAGAAATAAATCAACAGTAAAGTGTGTGTAATGGTAGCTTATAAGACTTTTAAACCTTTTATGTTATACTTTGACAAATTTGCCCATAATCAAAAGTACTCCTATTTTGCTTTTGTAACTGTATTCAGACAAATCAGTCTTAATACCTATATTAGTAGAGATAACTATGTCAAGACATTCTTTTGATTTTAGCTTTTAAGGTGCACTATGTAACCTTTCTGGTAGAGAGTCCACCCCTTTCTTTTCTTTGTGAAGACATTGTTTTTAAATTGATCTATGTTGCATTTATTCAATTAAAGGTATTTTGATTGCTAATAAATTAACTTGAAAAACATGTATTCTTACTGTGAGCAAGGTTGCCTTTCCACAGAACTGACTTCTACACCTTCCCTGGAGCTAGGTGAATGTGGAGCCATACTGTGGCTCATTCTTGGCAATGCAATAATCATAATAATCTCTGTAGGAACAAGCAGGTGGCACATCTCCACTGGAAAAGTTAAATGGTACGCCTTTAATTCCCCCTGGTGCAGTGGTTTCAGAGCAGCTGAGCCTGTGTTTGTCTGAGTCCGCGGGCAGACGCACATCAGGTGGCTTTGTATTATTTACACAGCCACTCTCTTCTCAGCTGCTATAAAAAGCCCCATGCTTCAAGGAGCTCTGGGGGTGACAGGGAGGCATCAGATATTTCAGAAGCTAATCTCAAGAAATGGGAAGAAAACAAAGTTGGTGGTATAGAAGAACACAGCACTCTAGTGGGTAGACTCAGGGTTTATGGAGAAATATCCCCAGAGAAGTTCAGAGCGGAGCAATCGGGCAGGTGTCTGAGAGAGGCCAAGGTGAGAATAGATTTCACAAACAGGAAAGTCTAGAAAGAAAAGTATTTGATTCTTAGTGCAGGTGTTAGTTTTTAGGTCTTTTTATGATTTTTTTCTAGCCTCATTACTGTATGATGATGGTAAACAAATTAATTAAAGGTGCACTGTGTAACTTATCCAGTGGAGGTTCCGTCACCTGCTTGTCTCCATGGACATGTGCCTAGAATGTTCCACAATATGGCCATAAATGTAAGAATCTCCATGGAGACTTGCAAGCCAAATTACAGGTTCAAGTAAAAATTGATGTTTTTAAGGTATTTTTGAGCATGAAACCTGTAGTTGAATAAATGCAAGGCAGATTAGGTTAATGCCATGTGGACAATTTAAACCAAAGCATTAACATCTCCATGGCAACAAACAGATTGCGGACCCACTCCAGAAAAGTTACACACTGTACCTTTAGCTACTGCTCACCAAGCATTTCACAATAATTTTGATATGAACAGTAAACAAAGCCCAAATTTTTCTCTACATGATTAAGTGAGAATCGGATATTAAAAGAGTTGTGACTTTTTTTCATGTAATTAAAAGAAAAAAAAAATACAATATACAGTCTAATAGTATAATAATAATAGTAAGTAAAATTTGTTTTGCCTCTGTTTCTCTGCAGCTGTCTACAGCAACCCAGGAAGTGCGCTGTTAGCGTTATTGTGACTCCACAACTCCACAGCTTAGAAATTCATTGCTGTGAATAATTAAAATCCTAGGCATGCTTTCAAAAAGTGGGGAGTAAGTTTGGAAAGCTGCAAACAATTTAAACTGAACTAGCTGCGTTGTTCACATTTGTAAGACTAAAAAAATAAAACAGGTACGGCACTTTTTTGGCAGTCAGTATCTTTTAAAATGATCTAATCTAGGCAACTATTTTCAGTAGCTTCCATATTTAGTATCTCTCCTAAGAAGCCTATGTGTATTTTAAATCCTGCTTATACCTCATACCTGCCTTAAATAACCCAGCTCCTCTTTACGTCGCCCCCTGCAGGATATTTGGGGGGCTGATCCTGGACATAAAGAGGAAGGCCCCTTTTTACTGGAGTGATGTCCGGGACTCTCTCAGTCTGCAGTGTCTGGCCTCCATCCTCTTCCTGTACTGCGCCTGTATGTCACCAGTCATCACCTTCGGAGGCCTGCTCGGGGAGGCCACCAAAGGCAACATAGTGAGTTTAACAAATATTTACAATTTACATACATAAACACGATTTTGTATCTTAGCACATATTGAAACTATTATGGATGCAGTTCGATTTTTTTTTTCCTTAAAGTTTTTGATCAGAATACACAATGCCCTCTATTTCATTTATTCAATTAAAAGGCACTATGGATGCACAGATCCAGCTTGTTCAGTTCCAACACTGATTTCAGTACTATCTGCCAATGCCCAGTATCAGACGATACCAGTACAGAGATTGAAAACAGCATTTATTTTCTTAGAACAAAAATAAAATGTGTTATATTGCTGTTATTTATTTCTGAAGCCACTAGAGAATAGCTCTGCATAAACAAGTTCAAACATTTTGAGACTTTCTGGGACAACTACAGCCAGGAAACTGTTTTATTACATTAATGTATATGTCAGATCAGGATATCAGCAAAAAGAATATTTGGAAACCGATATCAGATTTTCCAGTATTAGCATTGATATTCGATACCAGTATTCATAAAAGGTATTTCTAATAACTACACTTTAATTAGCCTTAATAAAATATAAACAATTATTTATTTACTTCATAATTTGTTCATAGTGTATAAAAAGTAATAAAATAAAGCATTACTGACAGAGATGTTATAGTGAAGTTGTACGTGTCCGTGTTCATGAGCCACCGTGCTGTGGTTTGGCCCACCTCCTCCAACCGGGCCAAAGTCCCAATCGTGCTGTGCCTGGGTACGGATCGATTACACTCACACTAGGACTTGAACACTGGTTCAAGTTGTAGTGTGAGCGCACCCTAAAAAATCGTTTCAACTTGACTATATTAATTTGGAGATCGTTTGACACATGAAATCGAAATTGTGATCAAAGTTCGATTCATTGCACAGCCTTAATACACATTTTAGATCTGAACAGTTCTTTAAGTAGCCTTTATATTAATTATTTGGCCCAGAGCAGATACCTGATCCAGTATTGTCTGGCTCTGAAGTGATACCCAATTCCAGTATCTATGCAGTGCTTCTCTTTTGTTCTATTTTGTTAACAGGTTTCTAGGCAGGGGCAGAAACTTGTGTCACAAATATCTTAGTCAAAATTTACTACTGTTTAAAGCTATGAGAGAAATATACTCAAATTACTAGAGGTGTATTGTATGGAGCCTGATAAGACATGATTTTTTCCTATGATGAATGTGATGAATTTGTTTAGTGGGTTAGGTTAAGTTATGTGTGTGAATTGTGAAAATAAGAGTAATCTTGGAAGGGAACACTATAATCTTGTTGCATAATGGCTTTTATTATCTACATTAGCAATGATCAAAATTCCATTAAAAAACATAATAAATTCTTTGCTTCATTTTTTTTTTCTTCCATTTTTATAGCAGTATTGTGTTTCATTGTCCCATACCCAAGCTACTGTTGTTAAGTTTTCCCTGACTGCACATTGTAAGTAAAAATGTCCCTATTGAGGAACATAACCATCTGCGCACGTCACTGTAGCTGTTTCTTTATGCCTCTGGTCTGGAGTGCACTGTTAGTTTAGGCTGTGAGCTGTGTGCCTGGTGTGTTTGAGTACACTCGGCAGGCTGCAGAACTACAGAGCTGCAGAGCCAGCGGAGCGGACCAGCCTTTCACACTCCCCCTGTTTATAAAACTCTTCTCTTTTGGGGGCCTCCTTCTTGTCTTTACCCCTTTCTCCTCAAGTCGTTCCTTTTAAATGCTCCCTGGTGTGTGTTTTGTTTTGTTCGTCTCTCATCCCTCTTTCTCCTCCCTCCCCTCTCCTCTGTGTGTCTGCAGAGTGCCATAGAGTCTCTATTTGGGGCGTCGATGACAGGAGTGGCATACTCCCTGTTTGCAGGACAGCCCCTCACTATTCTTGGCAGCACAGGGCCTGTTCTAGTATTTGAAAAGATCCTCTTCAAGTTCTGCAAGTGAGTCCAAGCATGTGTTCCCAGGATTACATAACCCACATACCAATGACGCCAATCCACCAATTCACATTTCATACATTTACATTTTAAAGTATTATTAACTGCAAATATATTCAGACTGAGAATGTGTTTATAGTTTTTCAAGTACCAATCTCCATAGTGATTTGGTTAAAACAAATAATATTTTCCTTATCTCAGTCTTGCATCCAGTTATGGCAATATGACGTCAATGGTAGACAAGAATACAAGAGGTCAAAATAGTCCCTTGGCAGTATGGAGATGGTTGTTGCTGTGAGGGCATCTGGAGTAAAACAGATGTTCCAAATCAATATGCAAATCACTGAATGAGAAGAGGCAGCTGGTTAGCTTTTGCAATCCTGGACAAAAAGCCTGAAGAAACAAAAGAAATTGGTATTGATTAGTAAGAATTAAAGCACAACACACAGCAAAAAGCAAACAAGCAATAACAACAAAATGAGGTGTTTTAAAAGGCCCATATTACGCTATTTTCTCATCTATGTTATGTTTTTTCCTCATCAAAAACATACCTGGAGTTTTGTTTTGTTTCATTCACACATCTTTAACACACAAATCCTGCATATTTAGACTGTTTTTCTCTCAAACAGGAAACACTCTGTTCCATCTTGTGATGTCATGTGGTAATACAGGAAACACTTCCTGCTACTGTGTTTTTAAACTCCACACACCATCACTGGAATAATTTGGATAATTTCACCCCTAGAATTGCCAATCTCTACAAAACAAAAGCTAAGAGGTAACTTTCAACTTGAAAACTACCGCTTCATGACATCACAAGGTGGAACAGACCATTTTGAGCTTTGGAGATGTAACCTGACTAATAATAAAAGATTACTCAAACACTAGTGAATGGAACACAACTCCAGGTATGTTTTTAAAGACGTAACAGCATTCTGACATGACTTAAAGCTCACAAGAGTGAATTTTTCATAATATAGAACCTTTAAGTAACTATCATTTTCCTTTTTCCAGTGACTATGGCTTATCGTACCTGTCCCTGCGCACCAGTATTGGTCTATGGACAGCCTTCTTGTGCATAGTGCTAGTAGCCACAGACGCTAGCTCTTTGGTTTGCTACATCACTCGGTTTACGGAAGAGGCCTTTGCTGCTCTCATCTGCATCATCTTCATCTACGAGGCTCTAGAAAAGCTCTTCCACCTCGGAGAACTGTACCCTGTCGACATGCACAACCATCTGGACAACCTCACAATGTACACGTAAGTGACACTGTAATGTACATCAGATATTACAATGTTTTATTATGATCTTTTATGGTTAAAACAGGGAATCTATTTCATTATCAGGTGTCAGTGTGCTCCGCCGACCAATGCCTCAGCTACCACCAAACAGACATGGAACAAGAGCGGATACACTGAAGAGGACTCAATACCCTGGAGCAGCCTCAGTGTTTCAGTAAGAATAGCACACAGCACCCCCTGGTGTCTAGACAAAGTAATTACAACACATAGTACCAACAACAAAAAATGCCATAATTTCAGGATAATTTATGGTCAGGACTAGGACACACTTGTAAAGATCGTATATTACACAAAATCAACTCTTGTGATCTTTAAGCCATGTTATAATGTCGTTACCTCATCAAAGATAGACCTGAAGTTGTGTTTTGTTTTATTCACACAAGTTTTAGTAACCCTTTTATTAGTCTGTCTACAAATCTAAAGCTCAAAATGCTGTCTTCCATCTTGTGATGTCATGAAACAGTAGTTTTCATGTTAACAGCGACATTTTACATTTTTACTTTTACATAAATGTATTTAATAAATAAGTGTCTTTATATTATGGTAGGATTCTTGTTTTAAGTTTTAGAACATACAATATTTTAAAGCAGTGGTACTATATATTGATTTAATGTGCATTGTGCTTGCTGTCAAATTACATTTCCAACACTTACATTATAATATGATTTTGATTTGACTTTTACAAGATGTTTATTACTTTATCAGATTTTGTTGAGTAATATGCTAGTGTTTACAATCAGCACTATAATACCTAAGAGCATAGCTTGAATCACCACATTTCTTTGAACATTTACTCATATATTCTTTACTGCATGCATTATTCCCATTCCCTCTCATTTTCCAGGTTTGTAAGGAGTTCCATGGAGAGTTTGTGGGTCCAGCCTGTGGTCATCACGGCCCATACATCCCTGATGTCCTCTTCTGGTCCGTCATCCTTTTCTTCACCACTTTCTTTCTGTCCTCCTTCCTCAAGCAGTTTAAAACTGAGAGATACTTTCCTACCAAGGTGAGTCTGTTTAATTATTTAGCAGCTATTATCTTTACTGACAATAGGTTTCAGCATGTTTAAAGGAGGGATAAAGAATATATTGATTGAAAGAGCATGTAGTTCTCAGGTTGCAGGAGGTCCAGAGGAAAACAAAGGATGTATTGTACTAGACTCTAGTCGGATCTCAAAGGTGCACTATTAAACTTTTCTTGTGGAAGGTCTTGCCACCTGCCTGTCACTGTGGATATGTTCTTATTGTAGAAAGGTTCCACAGTTCAGTATTAAACTTATCAATCTTCATAGACACGAGCAGGTTATACCAAAAGGCCAAATCTGTGGAGAGGTGACCCCATTCACTGTAACTAGTATATTTGAGCACATAACGTGTATTAGAATGCATATGAGATAGAAAACATATAAAATTTTCATGGACATCAGAAAAGTTACACAATGCACCTTTTAAATGACTAGGTTCAACATTTCCTTCTTTACAGTTACTTTAAAAATGCAGTACAATCGATAACCTAAACTGCCTCCTTCCCCCATCTGACTGAGTAAACATAAATATAAACATTTTAACCCTATTTTTAACAGTGGTGGATGAAGTACTCAGTTTTGTAACTTAAGTAAAAGTACAGATACACGTACAGTATCACATGAAAAAATCTACTTGCATAAAACTATTGAAGTTCCTGTTTAAAACTGTATTTTAAGAGTAAATGTAAAAGCACTTTGCAGAGATTTTTTTAACAATTAAAGCATCAAATGTAGTAAATTTGATAAAGAAAGTAGACAAATTTAACTGATTAAAATTATTTCTTCATTTATCTAGCTGATTTTGTGTTTTTGTGTATTTGGTTTGCTCGAAGTAGGGACGTTAACTCAAATTAAGAGTGCTAAAAAATAAGTCTCGGCTATTTCAGCAGGTCACAAACTATGAAGAACTTACTTTTTACTTTCCTGTACAGATACCTGCTCTCAAATGTAGTGAAGTAAAAGTAAAAAGTATCTACTGGAAAATGTACTTAAGTAAAGTACACATACCTACATTTTTTATTAAAGTATTATAACATTGTACTTTTACTTTTATACTTTGTTACCTTCGACCATTGATTTTAACTGTGCAAATGTTACAAAAAATATTGTAGTTTCTCATCTGCAGTGTTTAGTAGGAGCCCTTATACAGCTGTTTACATTTTCTGCTTCATTAGAATGCATGAAGCAGAGAAGTACTGAGTGTTGGCAGTCCCTGATTTATGCTTGTACTGTCAACACAATGTAATTATTACTTTGGTTAAACTTGTCAGACATTTTCAAAGCCGTAGCATGTTTATGGGGTGTGATGCAGTAATTATGTGAGAAAGAAAAGTTGTTAAAATGACACTGACGTCTGTGTGTTTTGATTTGTAGGTTCGCTCCTCGATCAGTGACTTTGCTGTGTTTATAACCATCATGATTATGGTGCTGGTGGATTATCTCATGGGGATCCCGTCTCCAAAACTCAATGTCCCGGACCGCTTTGAGGTAAATGCTAGGTTTTTGTCTATGTTACATGTTTTTATATTGTGTGGATTTTATTGGAAAGCATTTGCTCAACTTTAGTGTTGCAAGAGGCTCAGTAAATAAAGATGGATAGAGTTTTTTGAATAGGAAATGCATTTTTAAAAGTGCATTGTGTAACTTTTCTGGTGGAGGGTACATCAAAAGCTTGTCTTCATGGAAATGTTATTAGTTTGTCTGGAATGTTTCACAGTATGGTATTAAACCTTTTTTATCTTCATGGAGACCAAACCAGACCAAGTTGGTTACAGGTCAGATCTGAGGAGAGGCAAACCCACTGACAGAATGTTTTTCTAGGTATTTTTATATTGTGTTGATTTGATTGGAAAGCACTTTCCAAATCCAAATCCACTTTATTTATATAGCACATTTTACAAACAAAGCAGTTTCCAAAATGCTGCACAGAGATCATAAAATGAAGACAGCAAAAAGGTAAATTGCTAAAATTAGGTCAAACCAGTTCTAAAACAATAAAACAGTAAAATCAAATAAAAGCAAAAAAAGAACAACAAAAAAACAAAACAAAACTTTGACCAAAAAACTTTGGTCAACTTGAGTGAGTGTTGAGCTATATAAATAAAGACTGATTGATCTATTTTGAATAAGAAAGAGTTGCACACACATGTTAGATTTGTGATTTTTCTGTGTACTAAACCTGGTCCTGAGACCAGGACTAGAACCAAACCAAGAACTATGATCAAACCAAGTCTCCATAAGGAATAAACCAGGCTCAAAGTACCACTAATCCAGCAGTAGGGATTATTTGGTCAGTTGTATCCATGATTGTTAATAATAATCAATAATTATAACGACTAAAATATAACTGACTGGTGTTTTGTTTTGTTACAGTGTAAGTAATTATAAATTATTGTTAAGTTATGATGTTTCCTTTTCACAATATTCGTAACACAAACATTTTATTTATTTTAACATCCCAAAAATACCCATAATAACTTTATAAATTTATACTTAAAGTTTCTGATTAGTCTGCAGCACCCCCTATGTATTATTCATCTTTCTGAGTTGGTAGGACCCAGTTTGTAAGGATGAGTTCAGTACGTTTAACCATTCTTTTTGATGGTTACATTAAAAGGTGTGCAGTTCGAGTATAGGCCAGACAAACAAACCAAAGCAGTAAAGGTGGGATTAGCTTCTCCATATGAATATTTGATGCAGATGCTAAAAATATGTGTCTCCCTGCAGCCCACTTCAAAGAACAGGGGCTGGCTCATGGACCCTTTGGGAGATAATCCTTGGTGGACTCTGCTGGTGGCGGTGCTCCCTGCTCTGCTCTGTACCATCCTCATCTTTATGGACCAGCAAATCACAGCTGTCATTATCAACCGCAAGGAGCACAAACTCAAGGTTGGAGCTAGTGTATTGCTACATGCATTTAAATAAGAGCAAATACAGGCTTTTGTTTTGCTTCTTACGTATGGTACCTAGGTGGCCTTGGCTCTGCTTAGTCACTGTATGAATCGTCTCTGTTGGTACTTTAGTGCTTTCTTAGATTTTATAGCATATAGAATTACAGGGTTTAAGATGAATGTTGCCAGTAGTCACACATTAACGTCATGTTCACAACAGGGTATAGACGGGTCTGTTTCAATACTTAAGCTGAAGTTGAAGTGTGACATCTGAGAGATAGACCCAGTGTGAATTATTTCAAGTATTGTTTTTGCACCAGATGCTCTTCCTGAAGCAATCCTTTTAGTTTGTTCCTTTTTTTTTTTGACAAGGACTGGTGAAACTGGTGAATACAAATGTTGCATTGCCCCTGAAAACAAGTTGCCTTATATATTTTGCAATATTTTGTATTGTTTCCCACACATATGTTGGAAAAACAAAAATAAAAACTACATTTAGCTTGGTATAATTTATGGGTGCAAAATTGTACATTGCTGAATGTGTCTTACATTCACAGTAAACAGGAAACATGTATTACTAGCACCTCTTGATTTCCTCTCTCTCTTACAGAAAGGCTGTGGGTACCACCTGGACCTGCTCATAGTGTCACTGATGCTGGGGATCTGCTCAATAATGGGTCTGCCCTGGTTTGTAGCTGCGACCGTCCTCTCCATCTCCCATGTCAACAGTCTGAAGGTGGAGTCCGAGTGCTCTGCTCCGGGGGAACAGCCCAAATTTCTGGGGATCCGAGAACAGCGGGTCACTGGGTTCATGATCTTTGTCCTGATGGGCTGCTCTGTGTTTATGACATCTGTACTCAAGGTGAGATTTGGATCACAGCTATAGAATTTAAAAGGCCCACAATACGCTAATTTCTGATCTGTTATAATGTTGTTTCTTCATCAAAAACATTCCTGGAGTTGTATTTTGTTTCATTGACAAAACCTGCTTATCTAGGCTGAGTTCTTCTCTCAAACACTTCCACCTTGTGATGTCATGTAGTAATACAGTAAGTGCTCCACTGCGTTTTTAAACTCCATACACCTGGAATTGCCAATTTGAAGATAAAAGGAGCTGTTAACTTGAAAACTACCACTACATGACATCACAAGGTTTGGAGATAGAGACAGACTAATAATAAAGGATTATTCAAACGTGTGAATGAAACAACAATTTTCAAGTCTGTTTTGCGCAATATAAGACCTTGGCTATTTCAGTTTTAAAATGTACTTAAAAGTAAAAGTATTTCATGCAGATTTTGAGATCTAATAAAGCTTCAAATGTAGTGATTTTGAGTGAATATTATTCAAAAGAACCAATTGAATCAATAGTTTTTTTTCCTGTTTTTTGTATATATAGTATATATATTCGTTTGCTTAAATAACAAAAAAATAAACGCCTCGGCCTTTTCAACAGGTCTCAAAACAATAAGAAACAATACTTACTACTTACTTTTCAGTCGTGTTAAAAATGTTGTCGAGTAGAAAGTATTGATTCCTGCTTTCAAATGTAGTGAAGTTAAAGTAAAAAGTACCCACTGTAAAATGTATTTAAGTAAAGTACAGGTACCTAAAATATTTTACTTAAGTACAGCACTGAAAATGTGTAGTGCTAGATAATCAGCGCCTTAGACTTAGATTTGTATTGCATTTTACAGGCTGGACAAAACCTCTTAAAGCTTTTTACTGTAGTCATTATTTATTCACTCCATACTCCGTTATGGTTAGCCTCTACTACTAGTTTGTGGCCTGACATACTCCATTTTCTCTTCCAGTTCATTCCTATGCCAGTGCTGTATGGGGTTTTTCTCTACATGGGCGTCTCTTCCCTTAAAGGCATCCAAGTAAGTCTGTGCTCTTTGAAGATAATGCAGGCCTTCACTGTGGAGAGCTCTACAGTCTCGAGCTGCTAGTTCCGATAACTTCGCCTCTTGTAGTCTTAAACCTTTGATCACAGGAAGAGAAAAACACCATTAATGCCTCTCCTCCCACAAAACTGGATTACATTATCCATTAAATATTTGCGTTTTGTGTTAAACAAGCTCTCTTCTTTGTAGTTTTTCGACAGGATTAAGTTGTTTGGGATGCCAGCGAAGCACCAGCCTGACCTGATATATTACGCTACGTGCCATTGTGGAAAGTGCATATTTTCACTTTGGTGCAGCTCAGCTGTTTGGTTCTTCTGTGGGTGATCAAGGCCTCTGCAGCTGCTGTGGTTTTTCCCATGATGGTAAGACTCAACAAACAATCTCTGCATGATTGTAACAAATGAAAAACATCCACCAGCACCATATTATAGTCATTTTGGAGACCATCAGACCATCTAAACATTGGAGTTTAGTTAAGCTTTCACAAATAAATACTCTACTACTTCATTTGATAGTAATGCATTGGTTTATGACACCTTTTGGGACACTCAAAATGAGACTGCATTTCGGAGCAGGAGATAATGGGCAAAAAACAGAGATGTACCGATTCAGGTTTTTCAGTTCCGATACTGATTGCAATTCTATAGCTTCAAGTGTCTACCGATATCAACTGATACCAGTGCAGAGACTGAAAACAGCATTTTTTTTAAAAACAAAACTGATCCAAATGTGTTATGCAGTTGTTGTTTATTTCTCAGATAGTCACAGAAAAACTTTGTATAAATAATAATAATAATAATAATAATAATAATAATAATAATAATAATAATTGATTTTAGGGATACACCGCTCCAGCTTTTTCAGTTCCGATACTAATTGTGATACTATAGCTTCAAGTATCTTCTGATACTCGATATCAACCAATACCAGTGCAGAGACTGAAAACAACATTTATTTACTTCAAACAAAAATAAAATAAGACAAAAGTGAAATGTGATATGTAGCTGTTATTTATCACTCAATTAACTACTGAAAAGCTTTGTATAAATAACAGTTTACGCATAATTTTTGGGTCGACTTCAACCAATGAATAGTCTTTTTACTTCAGTTCATACAGTATGTCTAACCAGGATATCAACCGAACCGATATTTGGAAACTGATATCCGATCCAGCAAATTTTTCAGTATTGGTGCCAGTATCAGATCAGTGCATCCATAGTTTTTTATTTTTATTTTTTTCATTCTCTTGATTACAACATTCAGATTAAAAATGTGCCTGTAAATGTCTTGATTGTGAGGTTCAAGTCTAGCACAAAATATCAACTGATCATAAAATTACTCTCGCCCCCTTTGCTGCTCCTGCATTTGACCCGTCCGCTGTGAGAAATAAATGACAATGACATTGGTTATTATGCAGTTATTATAACATATGCAATTAAAAACATACTTTGACTCTATAGGTTTTGGCACTGGTGTTTGTGCGAAAGCTTCTGGACTTTATCTTCACAAAGAGAGAGCTGAGCTGGCTGGACGACCTGATGCCGGAGAGCAAGAAGAAGAAGGAAGACGACAAGAAGAAGAAAGCCCAAGAAGAACTGGTGTTAGCTGTAAGTGTCCTTTCTGTATCATCATGTTCTTTCATACCCACAGAACTGATACAAGACCCAGTATATTAAAGGGCCAACACTACATGACATCACAAGGTGGAACAAAGCATTTGGAGTTTTGGAGATGTAGACAGACTAATAATAAAAAAAATACTCAGAAATGTGTGAAGGAAACAAAACACAACTCCAGATATGTTTTTGAATTTTAAAATGACTTAAAACTAACTCCACAATATGAGAAACGGTTAATTTCTCTATTGAATTATTTGGCTATAGCAGCTCTGTCATGAGTTTCAGTGTCATAGTTGAAAACATATTTCTTTTGTGATAAAGATAAATTAGGTAAATCACCTTTTTCATCTACCAAAGTAAAATGCACATTGTACAGATTACACAGACAAAGCAAAATGATGATGATTTGTGTTTGTTATGGAAACTAAATACAACATTGTTTCTACAGGACGATGAAGACTTGGGGCTGAAAGTGGCGTATGAAAACTCAAACCGCCTCACCATCCCGGTGAAGACCCTCACTGGAAAGTACGTTTATCACACACCTTTTATTCTGTTTCTTTTAAAAATGTTCTATACACTATTAAAAAAAAAAAGTGTGTATATACATCAAGTCCGATTGTAGCCCCTCTTTGTTGTACCTGTCTGAGGCTGGTGTAAGTGGTTCTCCCGGTCAGCTGTCTGTTGTTGTGTTGGACAGATCTTACAGAATAGAAGTAGTGACCCAAAGGCCTGAGGATGACGACACAGAGGTAGCAGGGTTGTGTGCCTGGTGTAGAACTGGCTGCTTCTAACCCTGCTCACTTCTTCAACCCGGTGCATGGTCAAAACTGTCTCTTCTCAGCTGTTTTACATGGGCTTTTAGAGGTGCATTGTGTAACTTTTCTGGTGGAGGGTCCGTTACCTGTCATTACTCTGCCTGGAATGTTCCACAGTATGACATTAAACAGCTCTACATTACAGCTTGGTCTGTTTTGGTCTCCATGAAGATATAAATGTTTAATACCATACTGTGAAACATTTCACACAAACACATCTCCATGGAGAAAAGCATTTAACAGATCCTCCACCAAAAAAGTTACACAATGAACCTTTAATAGCTTTAATAGGACCATCTGTTCTTTAAATGTTGTCTGGCATCACATTTGTGTGGTTGTTCTTGTTGAACTAACCTATTTTACTGGGGTTTTAATGTCAAATATATCATTTACATATTATCACAATTTCTTTTACAAACTTTAAAATTTAAAAACTGATCATAAAAAGTAATAATTTGTTGATTTGAAGTTGATACAAATATAGGTTTAATATTCAAATGCATTCATAAAGCACATTAAAATCAACTTGCAGTGGCCAAAGTGCTGTCCAATATATAGCTAAATGACATTTTGCAGCTGATGTCATCAAGATTTCCTGGGCGTGAGATGCTAACTGAGGGCCCTGCTCTGTCTGAAGCTCTGTTAGTCAAGTTAGACTTTGTCGTATTGATCACAGGCACCTTAAAATGTATGAATACATTTTGTTTTGTTTTTTTCTTGAATTTTCAGACCATCTAAAAACTTTTTTGACAGTGTTTGTTTACTGGCGTGTGCATTGTGTCACTATGGTAGCTACTGCACATTCCATACACATACATATGGACTCACATACACGTATCATCAATACCGTATAAAAATAATGACGTGTTTAACTTCAGATATTAGCATTTTTGATTTGACCTTATTATTACAAATACAAATGCCCAATGCTACTTTGATAGAGTAAAATTATAGTACGTACATGTCACCACAAATCTACTTTAGCCTATATACTACCGTTATATTGAATCCTAAGCTTAACATGCATAATGTGTTGTATGTACCATTGCTGTCTGTGAGGTCTGTGCACGCTCACGTTTCCGCTTGTTTTGAAGTGTCCCTCACTGACTCCATGTCCACGTGTCTTCTCTCTGTGTGTTTGCATTTTGGTGTGTGTAGTTCAGAGTCTGCCCCCATAAAAAACTCTGATGAAAAGGCTAAAAGCTCAGCCCTGAAAGCAGAGTCTCGTCCCCAACCTGTGAGAAGTAGTGACAGGTAGCTATGCTCTCAAAATCTACTGGGATGTTCAAGTGCCTTCTCTGAATTTCATGCTTACTAAAGACTTTGGACTATTTCCAATATACATACAAATTTAAATTTAAAGGTGCACCATGTAACTTTTCTCGTGGAAGGTTTGCCTTTTGTCTGGAATATCCCTTATCTGTCTCCTTGGAGACAAGCAGATAACACCACCACAGGTCAGGTCTGTGGAGAGGTGACCCCATTTACAGTACAGAGGTTTTAATTAATCAATGAAAACACTTGTAATTGAATAACTGCACGAAATTTAAGTTTAATGACATACTATGAAATATTCAAAACAGTAACAATAACATCTCCCTGGAGACAAGCAGGGGGCAGGACTCCACCAAAAAGTTGCACAGTGCTCCTTTAATTTAAACTACTGGAAATACCAAGGATAAGCTTGTTTATTTTTGTGTTAAGAAATTCCTAATAATGCTATGTAGAGTTTTTAAACGAATCATGTGATGTGAAATGATTTAACAATGTGTGTATTAAGTTTTTAATTTTGCAACTATATCATATCTGAGATTAGACTGACAACATTCTTGACTGTCATTTTCAAAAGTGTCATCTTTTGGAAATGGTCCCAAATTTAAAGGGACAGTTCGGAAGTTTGAACGTAGGACCTCATTTCCTAGGTACGTGTGGAGACACTTTTTTAAATATTCCATCCAGTCCTTGTATTTGCAGAGGTCGCTGGTGCTAGGCTAGTGCATGTCAATGGCCATAGTTATCCTGCCACTAAAAACAGTCTTACCCACTCAACACCCGAAGCAAATCTATGATTACGCTAGACTATTGATGTAAATGTCTATGTTGATAGAATAATGTTTGAAATAAAACTAACCTTGTATTGCATGAATCGTCGCATGTAAAGGGACTATTTTCTCATATATCAGTCCGCCGCTGCCAAGCTTTCTATCAGGAAGTACAACCTACTGCTGCTGCTCAGACATAAATCCATCAAATGCAAGTTTGGTTTTACTTCTAAAATTGTTCTATCAACACAGACATTTACATCGACAGTCTGGCGTTATAATTGCTTTGCTTCGGGTGCTTTGTGGATTAGGTGAGACTGTTTTTAGTGGCAGGCTAACTGTGGCAATTGACATGCACTAGCCTAGAACCAGCGACCTCTGCAAATACAAGAACTGGATGGAATATTTAAAAAAGTGTCTCCACACATCTCCAAGACTCTGGCTCACAGGGAAATGAGGTCCTGTGTCCAAAATTCTGGACTGTCCCTTTAATATCCAGTCCTGTCACCTCATCTTACCGCTTTGCACTCACGATCTCTCCTTCTGTTTGTAGCCAAGAGAAGGTGGCATGCGTTAGGGTCGACATGAGTCCCGAAGATTCACCTGAAGGAGGCTCTGCGACTGAGACTTTCCTGTGACGGAGCAGGTGTTTCCTCTTCCCCTCCCCTCTCCTCTGGGCTGCTTCAATGTGGGACTAAGGAGCATATCTTAAAATGGCGGAGAAGCACAAAAAACGCAGCCTGGCGAGCTCTGGTCTAAGTGACAGGCCATAAAACCAACTGCCATGAGGTTTAAAATGTGCACATCGTGAACATGAAGGAGGATCTTACTGCCCAATTCACTGTATGTTTTTTATAGAGTTAATAAATAGTTAATAATTTATCCATTTTAAAGTCAGATGCCAAAGGAAAGGGCCTCGCTGCTGGGGATCAAGAACTGTTTTGACTATAGATAGTTTTTATTTTCAAACCTTTGTGTTATAGCTGCTGTACATTTTCTTACAATAGCTCACATCCTGTCTTTTTGTGAGTCTTAAAAAAACACCAGCATCAAATCCATTCTAAAAAGAAGCCATTAACTGTCAAAGGTAATTCTGGCACAAACATACTGATTTCTCTAGACTAAATACTATATCTGTTGTCGCCACACTACTACTACAACTACAATACTTTGTGCATCTGGAAAACTTTCAGTGTTATTGTTGCTGCTCAAAAGGTCAAAGTTCACATCTTGTAATAAACCTCATTCATTATATGCTGTTACATAAATAATTATTAGTGTATGTAAAATGTATGTACTCTGTGATCAGTTCATTTGATGTGACTTCAGAGGCCATATTGAAAAGTCTGTACTGTACAATAAGCACTTTGCCAGTATAACTTCTTAAAATGAACATAAGATAGTGCGGTAATACACGGATGTCCACAAAGTTTGAATTATTTGTAAGATAATCATTTCTGTCATTGTAACAGTGTGCATTTTTAAGTTTTAAACTTTTCAGGTGGGGTATCTGCCACCTGCTTGTCTCCATGGAGATGTCTGAGATTTTACACAGTATGACATGAAACCTTTTCTATCTCCACAAACACGAGCAGGTGACGCCGACAGGGGAGGTTACCGTTAGTTAGTTAAACCTGTAGAGAGATCTGTAATTGGTTAAATTTAATGCAATTCTGTGGAACTTTCCATGCAAAGTAATAACATCTGCATGGAGAAAGAAAAGAAAAGTTACACAGTGCACCTTTAATCAATTTGTTTTGGGGGGATTTGTCCTCTTCATTTTTAACACTGTTGAAATGAGCATAGAGTGACCACATTTCATACTTTTTTCTTCTTCTTTTTCTTTTTTTTTGACAAATGACTGAAACTTTATGGACATCAGTGTATATAAAGAGTCCAGTCCTCTCCCAAAGCCTCCTTAGAGCTGTTCAAACTCAGGAATCGTGAGGATTTCTGGCATTCATTTAAATGTTTATTTTCACAAGACGATAGTATAATTATTATTAACAATTCATTGTATTAATTTCATTGTGAATATTTTAATAATAATAATGATAATAATAATAATATTGACAATTAACAGGGTCAATCATAAAAAAGCAATTACTCTTGTGACTCCTGTTAGCAGCACCCTTTTTATACTGTCTGTATCATTGTTTGTAATTGTGTGTGTGCGTGGTGTGAAGATAATTTGTTACGCGTTGCAAATCATTTTATGCAAGATACCTATTTCTACACTAAATGTAAAAAATGCTGTTATAATCTATATGAAGTCGTTCTTATTTTGCTATTGAGTAAGTGAAGTCCCGTTTTAGCAATAAGTCTCCCATACAGTGCAATGTATGGCTATAGGATGACCCTTAGCTAACTAATCAATCGTGGTTTGTGTTTCATTGGCTTTGTCGGTGTGTAGCTACAGTGACAACAGCTTATATACATATGTGCCTTGTCTAAGCTTAATGTAATGTCTTGTTATTGATCATTTGGTTAGAATGCGTGGGACAACTACGCCAAAGACACCACCACCCATTTGCTTCTTCTATGTCGTGTTGAGAAAAGAAAATATTTAAAATCTTTAACAACGGACTGAAATTATGTAGACTTAAAACTGTTTCCGTATGTACTACTGTCACTTCACTGGTTTTCACTGCATCTAAGCTGTGTAAAAACAATTTTGAGGTACTGGTAAAAAAAAATAAAAAAAATCATTTGAATGTCTGATTATGTTGAATAGAAAGAATGAAATAACGATAATTTTATTTTTACATGTCTTGGCACTCTGTATGTCAGTGGAGCTGTCGCGTTAGATTGAAGCTTCACAGGCGAGCGTTAAAAATGCACTGACCGGCCATATTATTAGGTACAGCTGTAATGGTTTAAATGCTATCTGACATTTCATACACTGTAAAAATAAGTGCTTAAAGGTGCACTTTAAACATGCCACTTTTTGGCTGGAGGTCCGTCACCTGCTTGTTTCTATGGATATGTCATTGTTCTGCCTGGAATGTACCACAGTATGACAAATAGCTCTACTTTACTTTTATTAAATTGGTGTGTTTTACAGCTCAAAAGTACCTACAAAAACAAAGAAGAAAAAAAAAACCTGGTTCTGGTCTGGTTTGATGTATATAGAAAGGTTTATTACCATACTGTGAAACTTTCCAGATAAAGCAACGTTTCTATGTAAAAAACAAAACAAAACAAAAAAACATTTGACAGACCCTCCACCAAAAAAATTTTACACCATGCACCTTTAACTTTATAGCACAGTAAAATGCAGAGTATGGTGATTCCCATATTATTCTTTAAAAGATACCAAATGTGTTTCTGGGCAATTTATGTAGGTCTGTAGTTTTTTTTTTTTTTTTTTTTTTTTTTAATTCAGTGTTTTGGAGTTTGGGTTAATTTTTATCCATGTGTTTCAGAATTATGAAAATTAGGACAGTTGCCATAGAAATTGAAAACCAAAATATTATCTATTTTGAATTTTGAAAAGTCCTCAAAATATCAACAATAAAAAGAAGCTAAAATTATGAACTAAACTGCCATGCTTTTACTGTGCTCTAATGTACTAACAAATTTACTTAATTCACATTTCCAGCTCTTTGTTTACACGGAAACACAGACTATTTAAACTCTTCATTGGTTGGCCTGTATTTAAATGTTTCTCAGCTTTCATTTTATTTGATATTTGCGTTTACAATCATTGCAACATATGGCTAATAATATGTGAGTGAGTGTATTTACCCCTTTTTGTTGGACTTTTATCCAATGTGCACTTAAGTTATCCTGTTGATGAATGAATAATGACATGAAATGTGGAGATGTACCCCATGTTCACCTCAAAAAACATATTTATTTTGTTTATTTGTAAAGCACATAACATACTGTTGTTTCTTGAATGATGACTTTTGGTCATGCCCGACTGACGCAAAGCAATAAAAGTGGACACAGACTGGTCCTGGTTTTTTCATTTCTCTTTTAATCTTGAGGTGTTTTAATAAATAATCATAGCCTGTGCAGTAGAGGGTCTAGAGGTACAGCAGGACACCCATTAACCAGATGGTCACTGGATCAGACCCTTCTGTCTGTGCACACTGCCATTGTCTATTGTTAGACCATATACAAAAAGTTCACGAGACAGACACAGTTCCATTATTTTGTCTCAGGAGAGCAGTGGCCTTTAAGTATCTTAATTTCCAACTGAAGTGACCGAATGGAAAAGGCCATAAACTAGGATTGCGTGCACTTGCGGAAGTGCAATATAATAGCACATACTCATTTATTGCATTCAGACACTAACCTAACAGATCTTTATCTTTTTTAGATATTATGTTTGAAAATGTAATTAAAGAAGTTGTTATGCAGGCCAAGTGTTTTACCATGTTTATGACAGAAGGTGGCAGCAAACAGCAGTTTCCCCACTCAGTAAAAGTAAGACATTTTATTTACCACTTTTAAAGTAGCAATGGTTGAGATTTGGCAGGCACTCTGCATGACTCCAGAGAGATATAAAGTTAAAGCTGAACTTTAGAACTTTCTCCATGTGTCAAACTTTTGCCACACAGTGGGATGTCACAGGCAAAGCAACAACCTCTACAGACAAGCCTGCTCACGTAGCGTGCATTTTATTCAAGTTTGTAGCATAAAAAACACCAGTAAAGACATAAACATTTATATCTATTTTTTTCAGCTGAAATCTCAAGCAGAAGAGCGTTAAAAAGACACTCTAGAAACTCTTGATTCTTAAATAAACCACAAATAAAAACAGAGCCTCACAATCCATTAAGTTAAGTTTAATAAACAATGTTATTATTGTTCACAGCATATTTGAGGAACATACACAGGCATTTGTACAAACTGGACTTATGTTGCCTCTGCAGCATTGACCCTTCTTCTGACCAGAGTACAGTCAAAACTTTTGTTCAGAAAAATTGGCCTTTCCTCACACAACCATCAAAATCAATTCTTCTCTCAGATTTTACAGGCATAAAAATCTGAATCTCGTCATTTCACTTTCTGAAAACCACCTTGAATAACACATACACTCACAGACAGTAGTTGTTAGTTTTAGGTTGTAGACTTATTAGTGTAAAAAGTGCAACATGATTGAATATATTGGACTGTGAAACTTAAAGTGAAGGGTAAAGAAAATTATCTTTACAACTGCAAGATAGATCTTTGCTCTTAGGATTTCTAGTTTATTTTGCGTGTACACTGGCACACATTTCTTTTTTACTAACACAAACCGGTTGCTTCAGGCTCCAGCAAAGTACACGTGTAAATCATAAAGCCAACTAAAATTGCTCTATAAAGGGTGTTTAAAAACCTGTCAATCAAAAACAGAACTTTCCAGCAAATACTGCAATTGTGTACAAAGATTATAGAAATTAAAAATGCGTACTTAAATAATCCCTAATAAAATCTCGTGCCTGCCGTTTCATACTTTCAAAATGACACTGCATTGGCACACTAGTTTTGTCTAGAATTACAAGGCATCGCTAACAGTCCTTAAAGCCACACAGCCAAGTCCCCTCCGCTCAGTGAAATGTCAGCCATCTGTTTTGTCAATGGGGAAGCAAACAGTGAACCAGTGTACCCCCCACACTCTAGATTTATAGGCAGTTCTTCCAGTATTAGAGATTGGGTGTTCAGTTAGCAGCGTTGGCAGGGCCCTCTGGGATTAGAGACATGAAGAAGGTGATGATGAAGGACCATGTAGAGGACAGGAAGCCATTTTGGGGACCACTGTCTGGATCTTCACCCCCCTCTGCCCCACTGTCTCCATCGTCATCTGAGCCGTCTTCTCCAGCCCCGTCCTATAAGTTACAACATTTTTTTTAAAAGGTCCTACAATACACTATTTTCTAATCTATGTTATTATGTAGTTTCCTCATGATTTGTTTTGTTCACACATGTTTAACACACAAAACCTGCATATTTTAGTTCTTCTCTCAAACAGAAAATACTCTGTTCCACCTTATGATGTCATGTGGTAATACAGGAAGTGCTCCACTGTGTTTTTAAACTTCATACACCTTCACTAGCATCATTTGGATAATTCTCTGGAATTGCCAATATCTATTAATTTAAGGTAAAAGGTTACAGGTTAACAGATTAACTTGAAAACTACCACTTCATGACATGGCAAAGTGGAACAGCAATTTGAGCTTTGGAGATTTAGACAGATTAATGATAAAAGGATTAATCAAACATGTGTAAATGAAACAAAACATAACTAAGCATGTTTTTTATTGAGCTAACAACATTATATCATGATTTACAGCTTAATTAATTTTGTACAGGGGCGGGGCAATCTTTGCATTCTGGAAAAGTCCAGAACAGCTGTTCGGTCTACTGGCCATTGGCCGTACTAACAACAGAGGGTGCTAATTCAATAATTTGCCCATTTGTCAAGCATAAATTGCATAGGCCTAAAAGGCGACAAAGAGTGGGTTACTTGTTGGTTTCAAAACATGTCAAAGATGTCAAATTGAAAATATAAGGAAAAAGGTGGACGAGAAAAGGATAAAGACCTTTGAAAGAAGTCAATTTGAAATGAACCAGCAAAATGCAAAAAGCTTACAGCTGTCAGCAGCAGCAGTAGTAATGTCATAGATAATAATGATGAGGGACATACATGAAGAAAAGGACGTCTTCATGCGCCTGGACAGTGAGAGTGTGATTGACAGGTAGTTCATCTTTGTGTGTTTTCTTTAATTATTTCATTATGGTAAGCCTATTTGTGGGGAAAAAGTCCAGGGCTGTTTTTTTGGTCTCAGTCCAACCTTGATTTTGGATGATATTGGACGTTTAAAAACCAAATAAGAAAAGTTACTTGAAACAACAGCATATCTACTTTGTCCAGAAGAGGAGGAGAGTGAATATGAAAGTTATGAAAAAGGAATCCAAAACATGTGAGAGAAAAAAAGACGTAGAAAAATGGGTAGGATAGATATTATTAAAGATGTATTTGAAAGCAAGTCATTTCTAGACCCTGTATTTCCAACTGTGAGTCAGCATCAGTCCATTTGAAAAAAAAACATTTGGCTTGTTAAGAGAAAATTAAAAATGTCCAATACCATTTCTGGCAAGTCTTGGTTCTGTGGCTCTCCTTCTCCTTCGTCCTGGTTTGGCCTGTCACCAGGAAGATCATTGTCCAAGTTGAATGGAAACCACCCCGCTTGCTGCCTATAAAACAGGGAAATGTTAAACCCATCAATCAATGCAAGATAAAGTAAAAAAAATATACTGGAATTAGGCTCAATATATTGCAATAAATATCACCAAAAACATGTTCAAAGAAATTACACTTTTCCTCTTAAAAAAATGTGGGTGCAGCAAATGAATATAGAAAGCAGTTTTAAAAAGATAAAATTAAACTGAACTGAAAATTGAGATAGATCAATATGAGGGGAAGAAACATGATAAATATTTTTGTCATATCAACATGCCCCACCTGATGGTGTCACCTGTTTGTCTCAATGGAAACAAGCAGGTAATGGACCCTCCACCAGAAAAGTAACATATTAAAATGTGTAATGAATGAAATCATGTTTAAAGCCCACATTCAGTTGATCCACATTTTAATATTTTATAACTGTATACAAGTCTATTTTCATCTTATTTAAATGAATGCCCTTATTTTTATTTTATCATCATTTATACTACTTTTATTTGTTTTATGTTTTGCTTTATTCACTGTAATACCAAAACAAGTTTATAGTTGAGTTGAATTTTCACTGACAACTGTTTCTGATCTAGGCTTTAATTTTTGTCTCCTTTACCCAAGGTTAGTGTATAGTTATTTCTTCTTGCAGTCCTAGTTAGCCTTATCTCAGACTTACAGGTAGAGCACCACCATGGCGACCAGGACCATGACGAAGCGACTGAAGGACGAGTAAAAGTAGACGATGCTGAGGAGGATGGCAGCTCTGGAGAAGGTGTAAACCCAGTCCAGCCAGTCCCGGTTCAGATCCTCGTCATTCAGGACCTCCCCGCCCTGAGCATTCATCTGCACCTCCGGGTTTCCACGACGATCGGCCTGAGCTCTGTGGTTCTGGGAGCTGCTCTGATTGGACTGAGGGGTGGTCTGGTCCGGTCTCATGTGTTGAGAGGCTGCCATCAAGTGACTGTCGAGACAAAATCCAAGTTACTAGTGAGGATTAATCTGTTTATACCATGGTCCCACAAACTGAGAATGGTTCACATTTATTATACCATATTACACTATTTTCTGATTTATGTTATAATTGTGTTGTTCCCTCATCAAAAACACACCTGGAGTTGTGTTTTGTTTCATTCACACAAGTTTAACACACAAACCTGTAGATTTAGGTTGAGTTCTTCTATCAAACTGAAAAATACTCTTGTGATGTCATGTGGTAATGCAGGAAGTGCTCCACTGTGTTTTTAAACTCCATACACCTCCTTTAGAATAATTTTAATAATTTCAGCGATGGAACTGCCAATCTCTACTGAACTAAAGGTAAAAGGAAGCTGTTAACTTGAAAACTACCACTTCATGACACAAGCTGGAACAGAGCTTTTTGGGCTTTGGATATGCAGACAAATAATAAAGGATTACACAAACACATGTAAATGAAACAAAACACAACTCCAGGTTTGTTTTTGATGAGGTAAAGACATTATAACATAGCTTAAAGCTCATAAGAGTCAACTGTAAGTCTGACAACCTTTTGGCTGTCCAGTCCTTGGGTGTATTAAGCATTAGTTATTTCTGTTTTAGTTGAAGCTAGTCCATCCTAACAGTACTTAATTTGTTTACTCGTTGTTATGGTGATACTCACAGCGTAGTGATATATAACAGTGATTAACTGTCCTGGACTACCTGTGCGGTTATACAAAAATAATACACAGCCGCATTTAAATTCTTGTTGACCATGGTTTCATAATAAATAATAAGTGAATAATTTTTCATGTACCTAGGAGAGGCTTGTCACACTTACTAATGCATAAAGTACTGTTGGGCATAGAGCTGCTGCCACCACATCAGGCTCATGGGGTGGTAGTAGACTGGGGTCTGTGTGGGAGGAGGGGGCATCTGTGGCCAGCTACAGGGGACAGAAAAATAACAGAAAACAGTAATATCACAAGGGAAAATAGTAGAAGTACTGAATAATTTTAAACTGTCATTTTAAGCTTAGAATACACAAGCTTGTACAGTAAAATAAGAAATGATTTATGAATTAAGGCCGAGCATACACATGTATTGGATGCTCAGTTTCTGTGGATATGGATTATACTAGAAAGTGTTAGCCAGGTACGATCTGAAAAATCACACTGAAATGAAATCTTTTTGCATCTATTTGAGAAATATATTCAACTGAACATTACAACAAATAATGATTGTCAATTCTCCAAAGGCACTCTAACAATGCTGGTGCAATTCTGAAAATCTAATAAACTGCTTCAATGCATCTGTACCTGTGCATGAACCCAGGATACATGAGTGGATAGGGGTAGGGGGGGCGCTGCCTGAGTCCATCGCTCGCCTCTGGTGAAGACTGGCTATTCTGAAGAAGACTAGGGCCATTTGAGCTCTAGAAACACAAACACATACAGTACATGGTAACAGCATTATAATGGCCTTCATGTGAAACAGGGAAGCTTATTTGTATTAATAGCCCATATTAAGCTATTTTGTGATCCATGTTATAATGGTTCTAGTATCTATGAAGTGTTTAATTGTGGCATTTACACATTTCATTTAGATAAGTGTTCACAGAGATTATACTGCTTTAGAAATACTGAATCAGTGGTATCAACAAAGTAGTTTCAATATTCTTGCTTACCGTGATATTCTTTTGTAGTGATATACCATGTTTCATAATTTGTTATCAAGAGGCCTAACAGTGGCTGATGTAAAAAATCTGAGCGCTGATGAAATAAAAGGAAAAGTGACGCACTGTGGGGCCAGGGCTCTGCTGGGACTGGGACCTGCTGGAGCTGCTGGAGCTGCCGGAGCTGCCAGGCCTCGGGGACTCAGGGGGGGTCCGAGAGGCACACACCAGGTGCAGCATGTGGTACTCATCCTGCTGAAGGGGGAAATAACGATAATTAGCATCATTAGACTGTGGAGCATGAAGAATTACTATTACTATTACTCCAAATTACCAAGAAAACCAATCATTTATTTGTATGTTAAAAAAAACTTGAGTATAGTATGATTACAATAATGTAATAAATTAAACAATATAATATAACTGATATTGTTGCTATAAAAATGTACAAATGTCACAAAATGTCAAAAGGGCCATTATCCAGGCAAAATGCAGTTTTATATGTACAGTAAAAATCTCAAATCATTACTCGCTAATCGTTACTTTATGACTTCTTGAATTGAATGTTTGAAAGACAAATTTTGATCTTTGTTGGAATGAACAATTAAGCTTCTCTTATTTTATATTATCATAGTTGCATAATAAATTAACTTACTACCATTGTGAAATTATATAAATGATTAATAATGATAATGATTAATATGATAATCTCTGTATAGAAACACATTAAGACAGCTATCAAAGTAGTGAACTAACCACCGGCCAAGGCACTACACTTGTGTCTCTATTATTGTAAACAGAATACAAACAAAAAGATCTTCCAGCACAGTTACCTTTCGCAGCACATCCTTTAATGTGAAATGATCCAGAAGCAGCTTCCCAGAATAGACCAGCCGCTGGTCTTTGCAGTTCTAAAAACAGACAGTGGAGCGTGAGCTATGTACAACCACCTCTGATCAATTCTATCAATAATACAATGCATGTCTGAGGCAGGAATGTCAACATCATTTGATTAGTCAATAGGTCACAATTATATAGTATAAATATTAATAGTTGTAAGCATAAAATAATAATATGAATAATGATAATAATAATACAATTTAAAAAAAAAGTTGGTCACATGTTTGAGGACTGTGAACAAATTATTACTGATGTGAATAATTACAAAATTTTGACATTTCTTCTCACAAGAACTGTAAAAATAAAAATATTGTAACATTGCTAGTCTGAGGAGCTATTAAGTAAGTAGATTACTCTAATGACATCCAAAATAAGGTTGAAGTGAATAAGAGTTTAATCTACAACACTAATTATGTGATCAAGCCAAAGTTTCTATTAGTGTTTTAATTAGTGAACAGACAATTCTTATGACTGGTGTTGTGAATTAGTCTATGCAACAAACACTGATTCCAGCATCAGATTACTGAATTGTGTATCTGTCCCTTTTGAAATACACAATAAATAAATGATTGACTTTCTCTAAAAGCAAAACTTAGAACATTAGACCAGAGAGTGATATTACAGGGTGTTTGCAAAGTAGAAGCTACTGTGACCTTAGTGAGGATCAATGCATTTACAGTGGCATTAGCAGCAGGATTAGCAGCAAGTGTCATTTTAACGCCTATATTCACTTCAAACCCATTCATAAAAATCATGGGTGACCTGCAAATGTAGGAAAACTCAATAGACAGCTTTGTTCTGCTTAAAATGCACTGATTAATGGTGCAATTACTTTCTGGATTTACTCAGTGGTGTCACAGGGGAGTGCTTTGTCCCTGAATGTTTACGGTGATTGTATCGTAATAAGGTTAGCAAGAGGTAAATGAGCCAGGGGCAGATTAGCAGCACAGGGCAGTATGGCTCAATACACCATGATGTAATAACAATAATAGTTGCAACAATGCAGGCAGCAAGGCTAATCTGAATATAGTTTATCTTTATGACATTGGGAGGACAACACAAACATGAGATAGTAATGTTGTGACGGCATTAACTAGGAAAATGGACAATCTATAACCCATTTTAGAGAACATTTATAGAGTGAAAGATTTATAACAATTTGAATTTTGAATGTTCACAATATACTATGAAATGTAAAGCATGTGATGTAATCTGAATTATAAGAATATTCTGTTTTAGTGAATCCACAACATTGGACTGGAACACAACATTTTGGGGAGAGTGAGTTCTTTTTTGTTGTACGAGTAGGGAATTTTTTAAATTGTTTATATTATGATGTGATTTGAACTGGAGAATGTTGTATAAATAACTTCTTTGACTCATTATAGACACAATCTAACTACTAAAGTGTTTCATTCTTTATTTTTTAAAATAATGTACATTTAGAATGGCTTCGGGTTATTGTGTCTATGGGATAAATTGGTTTCAGTGTGATCATTACATATATGATAGTTCAAAATGTCTTACAGGTTTGCTGGGGTAGACATCAGACAGGTGGGCCTTCAGCTTTTCCACAGTCCAGTTCTGGAAACAGTTGATGGTCTGGTCTCCGTACTTCTGGTTCGGTGCTCTGATCACCAGCGTCACGGGACTGTCCATAACACCTGCGTCCATGGCTCATCTGTTCTGTTACTGAAGCTCTAAAATGAGTTACCCACTTGGGGTATGTATGGGGTCACGTGTTAACACATCCTTTTATTGCCCATAGTCTCTTAGTCGAATAATGCCTTTGATGTCTTCTGTAATTTCTACAGACGCCCCGTCACAAGGGACCTGGAGAGGACAAGTAGGTCAGTCTAAATATCTGCAATCTGTTTACAGAAAACAACTCAAGGTAAGCCCTGAGATACGAAAACCCTGTAAAGAAGTAAAACTCTGACAATCGTTGCATTTCAAACATCATTTTATCCCAAATGTACATAAAGTTTATCACATAAATAGTAAACGGTATAACTACACTCGTCCATCTATGTTTTACTTACGATCAGCTGAAGCTACTGCTAGCCAACTTGTTAGCAGCAAGCTATAAGCTAGTGTTAGCTGAAAACATCTACTGTTAACGTGAAATCATAAGACTGAGCATGCGGACACTCACATCACAGAGAGCACATGATCATTATTCTATTTGCAGAGATGTGTGTCAAACACATGTACATAAAATGCCATGTTTACCTACCTTGTTTACCCCCAGTGAGCTGCAACTCCGTTTAAAGCCTGATCTGCGCCAGTGCTCTGCCTGATCTGCGACACTCATCTTCTTCGAGACGAGTGCGGCGGTGGAAACCGAGCAGAATGACTTTGTGTCGCCATCTAGTGGTCATACTGACTGTTTACAGAAAGTATGGGATCATATTTTAGAAACAAATTTAAGTAATAAATAAACATAGGTGTGGTGGACAGAGTCATGACTTAAGTCTGTCTTGAGTCACTGTTTTGACTTGGCAGCTCACAGTGAATGGACTTAGACTCGGTGGGACTCGACTTGGACTTGAGTACTGTGACTTGCAGCAACTTGATGCTTGTCTCAAAAAATAAGTATTTAAAAACACTGTTCTCTTTACAGTTGATAGTTATACATAATTATATACTGTTTTATTGTTTTGTTTTTGTTTTGTTGTACAAGGGTAAATACAACTTCACTGCATGTGAAGGATGTTTTTTGAAATAGAATTTGACTAAAATCATGTAAACTGCAACAATATGAGCTGTAATCGAAAATTTGATTAAAGGTTACTGACTAGAGAGGACCTGAACATCAAAACAGAGGACTTGGCCTTGACTTAGACTTGCCTGCATTGAGAGTTGACTTGAGATTTACACGAGACTTGCAAAATAAGGACTTGGTCCCATCCTGCCAATTAATATATTAACATGATTGTTTTCTATCCAAATAAATACATTTAAAATTTATAATTTTGCAAAATGTTTTCATAATTTAGCAGTTTATAAAGTTTTAGAAACAGATAACCTTGTGGTCATTAGTCCCCACAGGCTTTTCAACCTTATTGTATTATATTGTTTTGTATTGTATTTCTCCTTATATGCTCTCTGGAAGCCTAGTATGGGGCGACTGCAAGAATAGGGAAGTATATTTAATTTGAAATACCTCCTGTCAGTTATGTCTATAAAAATAAGTTGTGCATAATATGCTGATGAATCACTAGCGCTGGGTCATTCTTTTGCTGTTATACAACTCCATGTGAACTTCCTGCTCTCTTATCAGGAGGGTGAAGTGGTTCCGCAGGTCAGTTTTTTTTTTTCCCTCTTTTGACGGACATCTTTCGGTTCAAGTTGTTTACATGCTGCATCACTTTGATACCTGAATGAACCTAGCATGAATGATGTCCATTTACTTTTATTTTCTCCAACCCATTGGCCTTGTTTGTCTAGCCCTGTCTCACATATTCATTTAGGACACTTAATATAACTGATGAATTTAGGCCAAAACTTGTAATTGTTGTAAATGTGTACGCTCTTAAACAGAATCCTGCATTGATTCAAGACTGATGCTTCGCCATTGTGTTTATAGCTATAAGGCATGTGGATTCAGAGGACTAAAAAAAACTCCATTTGAGCCATTAGCCAAAGCTCTTATGTGTTCTAAGAAAAACGCTGGACACTTTTATACGCACTTGTTGGAAATGGGTCAAATATCCTGCCTTTTGGTTTGCGTCTTCACCCTTTGTTGCTTTTTCACTTTCCCCCTTTAAAAGTCTGCTTTCGTCAGCTCGTTATTGCTCAATGAGAGGTCAGTATGAACAATGTACCCAGTGAAACTAAAAACATGAAACACATGAAGCACATGGAGATTTTAATCTGAACCACACTACCTAAGATTGCAGTCATCATTGGAAACAATCAAATGATCTAGTCCTGGTCTAGTCCTGACCTAGTCCTAGTCTAGTTCTAGTTCTTTGTAAGTAACATTTCTGAGATAAGTCTGTACAAGAATTTATAGTTGTAGTTAGAGTAAAGGCCATGTACTTGGACTATATCTAAATACAAAATACATTTCAAGTGACATATGCAACTGTATGATTCCATGGAAATAGAAAGTTAAAACCATACTTCGGAACAATCTCCATGAAGGTAAGTTTTATGCCATACTGTGGAATATTACAGCCAAACATTTTCAGGCCAAATTAGGGTTTGTGGAGATGCAAGCCTGCTCAGAGTTTGTTTGCATGTTTTCAGTGCAATACAAACACCCATAATGAAAAAACATGCTTTTATTTTTTCTGTTTTTGGCACAAACAGTAATATGTGCATGTTGTCTGTAGTGTCGTGCTTAAGGACACAGAGGCAGTGTGCTCTTATACTGAACTGCTGTGCATGGTTGAACACAAAACTCCTACACTCATATATGTGTTTTCCTCCAAATATGTTCCATCCTGTGTTCCCTTTGACACATTTGTGCAAACACACACAAACAATAGTATCTGAAATGACTGGACGTGTCTGCTGCCTCCGCTCTTCGGGTTTCTCATATCTTCATGCACCGTGACTCAGATGTGTGAAAAGGTCAGGGGCTTGTGGAGGTTTTAATGAGGTTCAGGGGGAAGGCTGACCCATTCTAGTTTGAGAAGAGGACCATTTGACTTTGTTTACTGACATTTTAAAAGTTCAGTAATGTCAAAGCAGCATGTCATCTGATTTAATGTGATGACTTTTGACAGGTGAAATGAGCAACCCCTGTCTTTATTATGATCTTTGTTTGTGGGTGGAATAGATGAGGAAGCAAGTAAACATGTTTTCAGAATGGAATACAATACAATAGGACTTTATTTGTCTATTTCAAGGCCAGAGCCAGAGTGAGCTATTGCCCTTGTGGTTTGCAGTATTGCTTTGTACTACAGACTGTATAGAGATTTATATATCAGTATATTTATATATCAGTTTATGGTCTGTACAGATCATTAACTACAATTATTACTAAAGCCTAAACAATTACAAAAATAGTGTAATTGAAAAAATATTAAAATGTATTCTGAATAACAAAAACTTGCTCCCTAAACCTTGCCAGTGTCTTTGAAAACACGAATACTAAGTCTTCTTTTCTTCCATTCCAGATAAACCTAACAATGGCTATTGTTTTAAAATCAGGATTTGACTCCATTTTTATTATTGGTGCATGTGTCACTTACTTACTTACTGCAACCTGTGAGGAAGCCAAAGGATTCAATTATATCTTTCTAGGTAGCAGCCTTGGCATAATATTCAGTGAGGTCGGGGTAATGAGGTAGAGTAAGGCTATCGCTGGTGTTCTTATTATAGAACAAAACAAAATGGTTCCTGTTCATATTACCGGTATTTCAAGTACTGTAGCAAATTACGTAGAAAATACTTAGTGAGTTCACTCAAGTTGAGTGTGATGAACAGTAATGTGTTTGCTAATTCATGGTTAAGTAATCATGGTCAAGTGTACTTTTTATAGCCCCAAAAATGCATTCTTGCTTGCCTCTCACAGATGTGACCTGTAAGTTTGGGCTTGGTGGCATCACCTACTTGTCTCCATGGAGATAAATATGTTTAATGCCATTCTGTGGAACTTTGTCAATATGTTTAAAGTCATATCATGGAACATTTCAGGCCAAGCAATAACATCTCCATGGAGACAAGTAGGTAGCGGACCCTCCACCAGAAAGGTTGCGTAGTGCACCTTAAAATTATACATATTTACAAGGAAAATATGTTGTTTTTTAAGAATACTTTAGAATACTTTAGAGTACTTTAGAATATGTGGAGCCCATGTGTTCTCATTCTGTCGTTTAGTATTTTGATAAAGTCTGATGTCTTCCCACTGAATGAGACTGTGTGGTTGATTTGTGAGTATTTCTTGTTGCTGAAGTTAAGGTCGTGCTGCTTGTTAGTCACTCTCTGACGGAGATGGGGAAAGTCAGGCTGGAGTTTGTTTTCATTTACGTCATCTGCTCTGATGTCAAGTGCAGTTTGATCAGAGCTGAAGGACCTCGAGGAGCCAAAGGAGACAGTGACCCTTTAGAGGAAGTTCTGTTTTATTCTGTTGGTACAGTAGAAACAACAGTTTTGCATTTTGTTTCCTACATTACAAAACCCTAACTCTTCTGAGCTTTAAGAATTGTTAGAATGCTGTTACCTCTTCGAAAACATACCCAGAATAGTACCGTATTTTGTTTTATTCACACATGTTTGATCAAACCTTTATTAGTAGTCTGCCTAAGTCTTCAAAACTCAAAATGCCCTCTTTCACCTTGTGATATTATATAGTGGTAGTTTTCAAGTTAACAGCTACCCTTGAGCTTTTGGCTGAAATTATCAAAATGATTCTAGTGAAGGTGTATGGAGTTTAAAAACACAGTGGAGCATGCCCTGTATTACCACATGATATCACAAGGTGTAACTCAGCCTAAATATGCAGGATTTGTGTGTCAAATATGAATAAAACAAAGTATAACTCCGGGTATTTCATAGATTTCTGAGGCTTTTTTGTGCCATCTAATATTCAGTGATAAAAAATGCATGCAAATTCACGCTTAAGTTAATGTTGGAAGTGGAAGGAATTGATTTGAAGATGCACTATGAGAGGTTTTGGGATAGTGGTTCGCTACCTGCACGACTCCATAGAGGTGTTATTGCTTTACCTGAAATGTTCCACAGAACACAGAATCCACACATTGAAGTTTTCAGTCAGCTTAGTGGAGAGGCAATCCCTTTTACAATAAGAATATGTGTACAAACTGATATCATGTTATTGTTTTTATTTATCAGTGAATAAGTCATTTCAATTTTGCTTATTTAATTTTTTCTGCCTATTTAACGTACAAATGGACTCACAAGTCAAATAACACTGCAGTTGATCACTATCTATCACTGAATGAGACAAATGCTTTTCAAAGTAAGCTTGCTCATCACAAGTCACAAGGACTTTTTTAAAATGTCAGTGCTCAAACCAAAAGCCACATTTCTGTCTCTTGGCTTGGGTGAACATTTGTAACATTTCTTCAGCCAGCCATTGAATCAGAAGTCCTTGTGCCCCAATGATTTGATTCACATTGTTGTCTTCAATTATCAGTGAGTCAGAGCGAACAGAGAAAGTCATTGGTGGTGAGGGAGGAAGTCTGTCCGCGCTGATA